TTCATAACCAGCCACATGTGTTTCAAGGGGCAGAACTGCTTTCTAGACTATCTCTCCTTCTTCAAAACTCTTGTTCTTGACTCTTTTGTTGTAGGCTCTTGACACAGCTTGCTTTCCTGCCAGGAGTTTATTGAGGGTGTCAATTCTGCTTGCATCCAATCCTTCCAGTTCTAGCAGCATGGCTTGAGAGTAGTTTTCTCCAACCAGATCGTGTTGATGAGCAATTCTGAGGGACTGAACAGCTATCCATAGGCAGAATTGCATCATGGCCATAAGTCAGAGCATAGGGGGTCATACCGGTTGCTTCTCTCTTTGAAGTTCTATATTCCTATAGAGTTTCTGACAACTTCTCATGCCATTGCTTCGGATTTTTCTCAAGCATCTTCCTAATAATGTTGATGATCACTTTGTTACTTGATTCTGCATGCCCATTAGCTTGAGCATAATAAGGAGTGGATTAAAGCAGCCTGAATTTGAATGCCTCTACCATATCCAGCATCTCTCAGATATGAAAGAAGATCCCCTATCAGTTGTGATTGATTCTGGGATGCCAAACCTCTGTATAATCTGTTCTTTTATGAAGGTGATAATCTCTTGAGATGTAGTGGATTTAACAGGCTTGGCTTCCACCCATTTGGTGAAGTAGTCTGTAGCAACAATAATAAAACAGTGCTGCTGGCTGCTGGCTGGATAGATCTTGCCTATGAGATCCATTACCCATCCTCTAAAAGGCCATGACTTTACCACTGGATTCATGGGAACTGAATGAGCCTGCTGGATTGGGCCGTGCCATTGACAAACCCACACCCTTTGGAATAGTTAATGCAATCTTTCATCATGGTTGGCCAAAAGTAGCCATATCTCTTGATTAACCAGCACATCTTTCTTCCTCATTGGTGGGCTCCATAGATCCCTTCATGAGTCTCTCCCATGACTTTCATGTATTCTTTCCTTCCGAGGCACCTTAATAGTACCTCATCCTTGCTTTTTCGGACCAAATCTTCATTCCATATAAGGTAGTTCATAGCCATGATTCTGACTCTCTTTTCAGAGGGCAGAGTTGGATATTGTAAGTAAGTTATGATAGGATTTCTCCAATCATCTTCAGTGATCGTGGCAGAATTGACATCTATCTCCATCCATTTGGTCAGAACATATGGTAGACTTTTCTTTCCTACCTTGATGATCCTCTGTACATAGTTTTCAGGCATTTGTATGCCTATTGCTATCTGAGCCAGCTCATTGGCTGCAAAGTTTTCTTCTTTTGGGATATGTTCCCAAGTAGCTTCTCTGAATTCTGTCAGAAGATTCCCAGCTGCTACTAAGTAAACAGCTAGACAATGACTTAGGCACTTGTATTCTCCAGCAATCTGTTTTAGCACAAGCATAGAATCTCCCAAAATTTCCACAGACTGGATTCCTAATTCCACCAGCATTTCTAGGCCAATGATTAGAGCCTCATATTCAGCCCTGTTGTTGGTGCACTGGAAATCTAACTGGAAAAAATAATAGTGTCTGATGCCAAGTGGTTCTTCCAAAACAATTCCTGCCCCAGAAGCTATGTCAGTCTTTGATCCATCAAAGTACAACTTCCAAGGCGTGAGATGAACTGAATAGATAGGATTGTTCAGGCAGGTATGAGCTCTTGTCAACAGGTCTGCTACAGCTTGTCCCTTGACAGCTTTCTGGGGAACATATTTGAAGGCAAATTCTGTCAAGGTCAGAGTCCATTTTCCAATTCTACCTCTCCGCATTGGTCTTGTTAGTATGTACTTGATTAGATATGTCTTAGCAATGATGTAGATGGTATATGGCAGCATGTGGTGTCTGAGTTTCACAGCAGTGAAGTACAAGGCTAGGCAAAGTCTTTCAATTGCAGAATATTTTCTTTCTACTTCTGTCAAAGTTCTGCTCAGATAGTAGACTGCATGTTCTTTCCTTTCATTGTTATCTTGAACTAACAAACTCCCAATGGATACTTCTGATGCAGACACATAGAGCTTGAGTGGTCTGCCTCTCTTTGGTGGGGATAGAACTAGTGGATTTGAGAGGTAATATTTGATTTCCTCGAAAACCAGTTGGTGTTGTTCTTCTCATTTGAACGTCTGTTCCTGCTTCAATCTTAACAGAGAAGAGAAAGGCTGGATCTTTCCTGCATAATTAGATATGAATATCCTTAGAAAATTCATTTTTCCTAGGAGACTCTGCAGTTCTTTCTTGTTCCGAGGTGGTAGAGCTTCTATGATGGATTTTGCTTTGTTCTTGTCAACCTCTATGCCTCTCTGGTGGACCAAGAATTCTAAGAAATTTCCTGCTTGAACTCCAAAAACACACTTCTTTGGGTTTATTTTCAGTTTATGTTGCCTCATTCTTAGGAATGCTCTTCTTAGATTTGATACATGATTTCCCTCCTTTGGGGATTTAATCACCACATCATATATATATACTTCCAAAGAATGCCCTATCATGTCATGGAAAACAGAATTCATTGCTCTTTGATAAGTGACTCCTGCATTTCTTAAACCAAAAGGCATTTCAGTATATTCAAAAACACCTATATGTCCTGGGCACACGAAAGCTGTCTTGTGGATATCTTCTTCCGCTACCATGATCTGATTGTAACATGCATTGTCATCCATAAAAGATAGCATCTGGTTATGAGCAGCTCCATCTACTAGCATGTCTGCCATTGGCATGGGGTATTCATCTTTGGGAGATGCTTCATTCAGATTTTTGTAATCTACACAGATTCTAACTGCCTTTGTTTTTCTTTTGAGAACCGGTACAATATTGGCTAGCCAATCAGCATAGATAGCTGGTCTGATGAATCCTGCCTTGAGCAACCTTTCTATTTCTTCTTTCACTTTTAGTTCTGTATCCATAGACATTCTTCTTCTGGCCTGTTCAACTGGAAGGTAGCCATCCTTAATTGGCAGCTTGTGTTCTACCAATTCCCTGTCTAATCCTGGCATTTCATGATAATGCCAAGCAAAACAATCTCTGAACTCCTGCAAAAGTGCAATGAGTTCACTCTTAAATGGTTCTTTCAACAGTGCACTAATAAAAGTAGGTCTTGAATCCTCTTCTGTCCCTAAGTTTATTTCCTGCAAAGGATCTTCCACTTCTGGTAGAGAATCATCTAGGCTGCTGTTGCAAAATCTAATACTTCCTCCTGCAAACTTTCTTCCTTTTGATCTTCCGTGCTTTCATGGGTGAATTCTGCCATATTGATGGCTGGATTCTGCATGAAGAGCTTTCTTTCTTCCCAATACATCAACAATCTTTTTGTAATGGATCGGATTGTTGCAGCTCGATCCTTTTCCTGTTGATAGGGACTAATCGTCAGAGTTCTGGAGGTTAACAACAAAAGGTCTATTCCAGTCCTCTAGGGAACTGGCTAGACCATCTTCAATGAGCCTCTGGGCTGTGACACCATGGGGGCGGCCGTTCTGGTTGACTCTAAGGAAAGTGAAAGGACCAAGGTCATCATGATAGTACCTTACCTCAAAATACATGGCAGAAGGCAGAAATGGCCGTGGATCGGCCTCTACTATCTCCATGTAACCCTCTTCATTCCATAAAGCTAATTGCTGATGAAGAGTGGAAGGAACACATAGACTCTGGTGAATCCAGTCTCTGCCAAGCAGTGAATTGTAAGTGGTAGAAGTGGTGTCTACCACAAAGAATGCAATCTTCAGTTTTTTGCTTCCAAATATGACATCCACATCTAAGATCCCGTGAGTTTTGGTGATGCCCCCTGCGCAATTGGTGACCGTCAAGCGTGTTGGAATCAAATCCTTCTCTGTTCTGCCCATTTTGCTCAACATTCTGTGAGGCAGAAGATTAATGGCTGCTCCTCCATCTACCATGACTTTGGGAATAGGAACACCCCTAAAATTTGCTGTTATGAACAAGGGTCTGATGTGATTGGCCATCTCTTTGGTTGGTTTGGAGAAACAAAGCTGTTCTGTAGCCAGTTTATTGGTAGTTCCTCCTGTCCTGCGATTACCTGTTTGCTGTTCTGGTGGCTCTTCTACTTCTGCCAACTCGCATTCAAAACTCTCCTAGGATAACACATCTCCCTCCAAAGTGCTTTCTTGTCCTTCCACTGCTCTGAATTTTTCTGGCAGAATGAACACCATGTTGATGCCTAAATCACCCTGTAACAAGTCCTCCAATTCGGCGCCAAAAGCTTCAGTTTTTGCATCTCTTTCTCCATCATACTCCATCTGTTCTTCCCCATATTCTTTTGTCCAGTCTCCTTGTTCTCTTGCTTCGAGGAGTGCATTCTGGTCATCTGCAGATGGTTCATAATCTAGCTGTTCATCTTCATCTTCCTCAATCCAGTCTTCTTGTCCTTCTGCAGGAATAGCTTCGGATTTTCCTTGTGGTGGTTTAAGTAGATTGTCTGAGGATGAGGCATGATGGATAAAAGGCTTGCCTGGAGATTCTGCTCTCAACAGCTTCTGTGGCTGGGAGATTGCTTGTTCTGCCTAGAGGAGTACTTCCGGCCTTTTCCCTTTTTTGGCAGAATCGGTCCCTGGAAGTACCCGTGCATCCCTTTTGTTATTGAGGAACATGCAGTACTGCCTTTGGACCCTCCTTTTCTGAGTTTTGGTTAACTCCATGGTTGGTCTGCCACTTTTTCAGATAAAATACCACCTGCCTTCTATGATAGCTGCCAAAGGTTTCTCATCCCCGGGCATCTTGATTGATATTTCCTTCTTGGGCTGCTCTGTCATCCTCTTGCTCTGCTGGGCAGGCTTGGGATAGCCTTTTTGCCTAGCTCTATCTCGAGATGAGGTTCCAATTATGTCAAAAACACTCGGAGTGGGTTGGTTCTATCTGTCCAGGACCACTTCTAACTTAGCTTCACATTTGCACTTGCTGCAGAGCACTACCCCAACTGAGATAGTTGCTTTTGGTCTTTCAATAGTTTCCCTTGAGACTATTCTGCCTCTGCTGGATCTAGCTTCTGTCGTTTGCCTGCTCCTCTTTTGTTATGGCCAATTTAAGTTGACCATGTTGACTTGTGGTTGGGGAAAAGGATCTGTTGTGACTGATGGAGGTTTCTCCGCTAGCTTCAGCCTTCCTGCTGTTATTCCTTCTTGTATAACATCTCTAAAAACAACACAACTATTGATAGAATGATTCCAAGAGTTGTGCCACCTGTAATACTGCCTGCCCTTGAGTTCTTCTGGCTTGAGGATCCTGTGGGTTGTTTCTATTGCTTTCTGTAGCAACATCTCATCAAATAAAGCATCCACCTTGGTTAAATAAAGGAATAAACCTTGTTTTGTGTTGGTTTGTTTGGAACAAACCCTCCTATGAATGGTGGCGGCTTCTGATCCTTTAGTGGCTTTGTAAGGGCCTTGCAGCTGATGGGATGTTTAAATTTTGCCATCTCTACCACTACAATCTCTCTTTCCTTCGACTCCTCTGCTTCATCTTCTGATTCTACCTCAACTAGGTGGACTGAAGAAGAAGGGGTCTTGTAGTAGGTACCTTTGGAGGAGTTCCTCCTTTGTTGTTCTTCCCTAAGCAGTTCCTCATATTTGGATGCTTTGTCGGCCAGTTCTGCCAGATCTCCAAACAGCATTCCATCAAATTTTTTTCTCAAAGAGATTTTAAGGGCAGCCTGAGCCATCTAGTCTTTCTTCCATAAGGATCCGGCACTTCATTTTGAGCTTTCTGAGCCTGGTTATGAAATCTTGGGCAGGTTCATCTTCACTCTGCTTGAGGGCAGCAAGATCACTGATGGTGACTTCTGGCTGAATCTTGTAATAGTAGTCAAGGAAAACATTTTCCATTTGCTCCCAAGTCTGAATAGAATTGGCTGGCAGATTGGTATACCAGGTGAAAGGCAAAGTTCCCCACTGCCTTGGAAACCATTGACTGGTCAACAAGTCAGCTTTCTTTGGTGTATGAGCGTGTCACTGCTAATAATGAAGATTCTAGCAAACTTCTTCTAGAATAGATAACTTGCGCCCCAAGTTACTGAATTCTAAAACAAACGATTGTGAATTTGGGTGAGGAATATCTCCCAAGTAAGTTCTTTTCATGCCTCAGGCTGGTGAGGACTTTCATAATTTATCTCAGTATAAAAACGGTTGTTTTGGCCAGAAAAGTTGATAGAAATTGGACTGTTTTAGGCAGAACTGCCCTTCACAAAATTATAAACACACATATCAACGCTAGGAAGGTTAAAGTGGCTGTTCTTGAGGACTCAGTGTGCTAAGGACTGCACTGTGAAATTTGTTGAGGTTTTCATGTTTGGAAAAAACTCGAACTCTACCTGTCTTGGCTTTTGCTGAACCAAATTTGTAACGAGAGAGATCTAGTTTTAAATGACTTATTTTCTAAGTATGAACTTTGGGGATTTTGATCTAAAGCTGGCTTCTCTTGGAGTTTGAGTGAGCTTTTTGGTTGATTTCTTGTTGTTTGTTTGATTGATGAATTGAGTGTAAGATTGATTGTCCTTTGCCCTGTTCACTCCCTCTTATATTTATAAAAGATGCACAGGGGCAGGGTTTCTTAAAAATAATTGGCGGCAAGTCTCTTCAAAGATCTACAAAGATATAAAAGAGAGGGAAGGATTCTAATTTAATTATGTCAGATAGGCTTTTATCAATCAATCTTTGAGATCACTTCCCTGTTTTTAAAAGAAAACCTAATTCCTTTTCCCAATTTAATTGCCCCTTGTGAGATTTCAACCATGATGGTTAGTTTGATTTCTTCAGTTTGAACAAATCCCTACTTTCCTGCTTATCTCTTTTCTGAAAACATAGCCTGCGTATCCTTTAAAAAGATGGTGTCTCTTTGGAGTGAAAACAATATCTTTGAATATGTAAGAGGGATTTTGATCTTCGAATGGCAGAGTTTCAGAGATGTCTTTTCCTAGTTTGCCAGCCACTGTCCTTTTCTTTTAAAATTCCCAATCAACTCTGTGATAGTTGAAATTGTTGACTTTTCCATTTTTGGTGGTCACATGGGTTCTTGAAAAATAGGCCTTAATCAAATTTTGTGACATTTTAATCTGATCTGCGCTAGTGGTGGGCTCCTCTCTCTTTGTAAAAAGAGTTGGGCCTCTTTCTTTTCTTAATTTATGCCGGGCCCTTTTTCCAAACTAAAGGCTGGGTTTTTGAAGCCCAAGTTTTCTTGCCACTTTGATCAGTCTTGGTTTGGCCCTTTTGATTTTTCTGGGTTCCTTGATGTTGGGCTGGGTGTGCCAATTTAGGCCCAAACACTTTAATGTCAAACCTCGACAAAAGATGAACTTCCACCAGTTACGTTAAATTTGGATTTGTTGAACTTATTACTTTCTCTGTCAGTGTTTGATGACTTCATTTGTTATTTACTTTTTTTTTTCCTTGATCTTCCATCAATGGAAATGCGTTCCACCTGTGTCAGGAAGAAAAATATGCACAGATTAATAGATTTAATAGAAGCCCAAGATTTCGAAAGCACATAATTTCTACAAAAATCTGCAGAATGTTCTACTTTACCAACTTATGTCTACCGATTTCTATTAAAATTAATTTCTCTGCGGTGCTCAAATTCATCATATATGTGTGTCCTTAATTTTAGTAGAAATTGGAAGTTTCCATCATTTTTGCTTTAAGTCACTCTTCTGAAGGAAGCTGAGGTTCCACCCCATAATCAAAACTGTCAGGTTGACTTATGACAAACAATGTAAATATGTAGGAGTACTATGACCTTTTATAGCATTTTTAGTTTGAATTTGGGTTTTATACATAGATTTCGAAAATTAATAGGTTGATGTCTAGGAAATAGAAACTGTAAGGGCCTATATTATACTAGCCCTCTTAAAAAAATATATTAATTAATGAATATTTGTTCTTCTTGTTGTTTTGAAGTAGTGGTGGGAGGCAGACCAACAAAAAAATATATAGCGAAGGCTTATAAGAGCTTTTATTAATTATTCTTTTTATTTAATAATTAGTTAGCTAAATTAAAAAAAAAAAAAAAAAAAAAAAAAAAAAAAAAAAAGTTATTAGGAGCTCTTTATTTGAACTCCAATTATACTCCTTAGGAGTCATAAATACTATAGTTATTTTTAAATTCAATTTGATTGGTTAATCTCTATAAAACAGTTAGCATTAATTAAAAGTTTAAATTATGCATAAAAAATTATAGGGAGCCACTATGAGTCATTTCTCTCTCCTCAAATTTAGAAGCTCCTAGAAGTCTCCTTATTTTAGGAGGTGGATAAGGAGCATGGTTGGAGTTGTATTTTTCCAATTCCCTCCCTAAAATTTGTCTAAAGAGATGGTTTATGAGAAATTATACAATGGTACCGTATTACCATGTCAGCTGGTGATACTTCCATTCAAAAAAATGCCACGTATTATTATTATTTTTAATAATTAAAACTTTTTTTTACAGCTAGACTTTAAATATGTTTTTATCTTTAAAATAAAATTGAGAAAATAAGACAGAAGAACCACTACCCACCCCAACCCGGGCTCCCTTGACTGACTCGCCCTCCCTATCATTTTCTCCCTTCGTCCATCTCTCTATTCCATAAATAACAACCATATCTCTATTTCATTGGATTGACTTGTAGAGAGCATCATAACACCCTTTTTCTTTTTTTTTGGGGCTGATTTTTCTCCACAATATTACGAAAGGGATTAAGATTCTCCTTCTCCTCCTCCTCCATCACTCACTTCCTGAAACATATTAAGACAAAAAACACCAACCCAGTTTACAGTTTACACATATGCTTGAAAATGGAAACCCAAGTTGAAGATTTAGATTTTTTTGGAACTGGGTTTAAGTGATGGATACTCCTGACAAACCTAGAATATATGATATTGGTTTTGTTTTCTGCTCCCATGGTTTAAGAGATCTTGCAGATTTTTATGGAGAGAGAGAGAGAGAGAGGGAGGGGGCGGCAAGCAGTGGGAGTGGGGAAATTGGGATAGGTTGGGGTGGGAGGGAGGTGGTTATGGCGTCTTTTGTTTGTTGTCTTTCTAAAATTATATATATACTAAAGCTCAATCCAACTCAACACTGTTCCTAAGCACAGTATAATAACGGAAATGCCCCTCATTTTACTGTTGTTTTTGTTTTGTTTTCTCTTCATAACAGTAAATTGACGAAACTACCCTCAACTAAACATCTTCTTCTATTCCCTTTTTGCCCCTTCCCCTCCCCTGCGAACGTTTCGTTCGCTCAGAGAAGGCGTCCATTTTCAGTCCATTTCGAACCAGCTGGTTGGGGGGCAGCCATGGAAGATCTGCATTCATTGTTAGACATGCGTGGGGGGCCGTCGATTTTCGCTTGGGAGGTGCGCTGCAAATCCAGCCGCACTTTTAGTCTTCGTCTCACGGATTTGTGGTCGGGAGATTTCTCATCGTTTCTACAGCCTTCGACTCAGACGTCTTCCATCTTTCTTGCTTGCGAGTTTTTGCATCCTTTGTCTTCAGGTATGCATCCCGTCAACTTTTTAACAGATCTTTTGGTCTTCATTTCATGAATTTGTTTGTTGGCTGGGAGATTTTTCGTCCTTTGTAGAGCGTGGGTGTGAGCCATGTTCTATCTTTAGGGTATTTTTTATTTATTTTTTACGAATTTGGGTTCATTTATTTGGTTAATTTGATTTCAGGTTCTTGGGTAATCCCTGATGCTATATAAGAGGAGCTGAGGTATTTATATTTCACAACATATTGGGTTCTATCAGGAAGGGGATTGAATCTCACAGATTAGCTCAGGTATTTCCATCGTTCTTATTATTAATTTTTTTAATCAATTGTCGATTCAATGACTTTGCTGTCTTGGAGAAATCTTAGAAATGGAAATCATTCCCAATTTCTGTTTTGGTTGCCGATAAAACACTGGAAAGCAAAGACCAAGCGTGCTTTAAAACAAAAAAAATCCTTTTGTTATCTGCTTTTGGTTGCTGTATCCTAAATATGGAGAAAAAAAATTATTGATAAAACATAAGGAAAAAGAAGTGAAGATTAATCAGGTTTCGACAAAATAGAAATTGGGAATGATTAACCAGCAACCATACTGATAAAGTGCCATCTTCCCTTCTTTGTGTACTCTCTAAGTTCTGCTCACGTCAATTTTTTCACCGTATGCTCTGAGACATAGCTATGTGGCTTAAACTTTGGCTGCTGTATATAAAAAATATAGTTCTTGACTGCGAAGCTTTTCTGTATATGTCACAGGTTCTTGAATTCTATCCTAAATTGCCTATGTTCAACTAGAAAGAAAGGTTTCCTTTTATCTTCTTGAAATAATTCATGTTTTAAAACCCATTTATCTAGATTGACTCTCAAGCATATGGTGTCTGGGGAAACATATAGTTTACTTTGTCAGTTCGATATGCTTGGTACATAAGTTCTGAAAATTGTATGGCCTGATTGAGCAGGCATGCTGTAGAGTTCTTGCTTGAATGTGTATGGTTTGTCCTTTAAAATTACAATTGAACATAATATCCTAGATATTAGGATTGCCGCAGGCTTATGTAGATCACAGTCTGTGCAACGATTCCATCCTGAGTGAGAGAGTGGTTTTGTGATTTTGATTGTTTAGGATGACTTTCGATTGAGTTGTCAGGGCAAAGGGAATGTAAATCTAGATCAACGCTTACAGAAAATTAAAGTTATCTATTGAAGTTTTTGGTTTATAGAATTAGAGAGGCTGAGAAAACAGAAATCATGCTACAATATACCTAGAATGAAGATTTTTGCTGCCTCCTTCAAGGAACCTAAATCTGTTATGTCTTTGGCATGTCCAAGTTAGCATATATTAGATAAACTGTACATTATTATTTATCAAGCAGTTTAGAAAGTGTCACCTTATAAACAAGGCCAAATCCTCCCTCTCCCAGTTTATTCGCTACATTGAAGTTGTTTGTAGCAGCTAAAACTCTTTTTAAATTGAAGAGTGGTAGTTCTGCATCATTCTTCGCAGCTTCAACTCTTTCTTTACTTATAGTCTCACTCATACAGCCTTCCGTGCTCCCTGTTTCGTTCTTATTATTAGAGCATTGGTTGTTTGGAACACTAGAATATATGTGTTTGTGTGAGTGAGAAAGAGAAAAAGAAAGAGAAGGGTGGTAGCACTATACCTTCCATTCCCAAGTATTTCTTCCATATGAAGAATTTGTTGGCTGGGAGATTTTTTGTCAAGAGACTTTCTTTCTTTTAGTGGTTTGATGTTCATTCGACAGTTGAAGGCTCTGAAAGCAAGCTAATATATAGAGTGATGGTAATTATAAATAGATGGATCATGGATCTTGGTGCAATTTTCTCTGTTTTTTTGGGTTATTTTTTATGCTGTTTTGATTCATGGGTTGGTTTTTATGTATTTTGTTTTTAGAAGTTGGACTTTTTGGAATTTGATATTGATATGGGAATTGAAAGCTTTCAGTTCAGGATAATGCTTTTCAGTGTGTTTTTTTTTTAATATGTCAGTCAGAAACTTGAATCTTATCTGCACAATATTTCCCCTCCTTTCTGTTTCTTTTGGATTAAACCTGAAAAATAAAGTAAAAAAACAAGTGTCCAATGCAATGCAATTGAGACTCTACGTAATGAAATTGTTCTCTGGCTTTTCCTTATCTGAAAAATGCCAATTTTCCATGGAAACAAAGGAAATTAGGATATTATATAGAAACAAAAGAAATTGTTGTGTTATGTATTGCAATACAGTTAGTGAAAGAACTTTTTCTTAATAATAATTTTTTTTGTTATTCAAATTAAAGAACACATTGTTAAAAAGCATGACATTATAATCAGTAATCGTATACTCTTTATTTCAAATGCAGCATCTAATAGTTTTTAAATAGACAGTGTAGCATCTCCATTGCAATACAGTTAGTGAAAGAACTTTTTCTTAATAAATGTTTTTTTGTTTGTTTTCAATTCATAGTGGAAATAACTTTAAAGTGGGAAAAGATCATCAATTTTTAACAATGAGGATGAGATTTTTTTTTTTAAAAGGTTGGCTATATATCAAAACACTGTCAAAGATGTAGCACATGTGGCACTAATGCTCCAATTGCGGATCACCAGTTTGTTCAGAGCCCTGTTTTAGAATCTAGAATGTCTTTATTTTTCGCTCTTTTGATTGTTGCTGAATTTTATTTCAAATTGCACCTCTGCAAATGGTTGGTTTCAAGTCACAATTATGGGCCATTGAACTAATTTCCGGAAACAAATTGACCACATTGGCTTAACTAATTATATAGGGTTTGGTCGATGTTTGGTTTTATCGAATTTGTTTTTTACAGAACATTTGGTATTGGTCTACACTGTCTTGCATGCATATGGATTTTGAAATGAGTTGTGATGTGTTTATTTAGTTTCCCTTTATGGTGTTGGTTACTTTTCAACCAATTAACATGTGATTCTCCTCTCAAGGAATTTGAAAAGAAACCAGTCTTCAATTCATATCGTCATATTTTCATGTTTTCATTTGTTTGTGTAAGAAAAGGAAATGTAACAAAAAGTATAGTTTCTGTTGGGGTCTATATTCTTGATATTCTTCAATACGAAAATCAGTATTGAAACAGATTCATTAATTGAGACTGTCTTATCTCACAAGCAAAACCAAAATTATATTTATTAGCCTAATTTTGTTTTTCTGTCTTTGTATTTTAGATAGCTGTTGTGATCCTGCTTTTGTGTGGCTGTTTTTCAAAGTGCTTGATAGCTTCTTTGACTACAGGTTAGTGTTTCATCCATTTTTCAAAAGACTGCATGCATATGGTGGCTGTAGCTTATTGATTGCCAAATATTATGACAATTGAAAATTCTCATTTCTGTGGTTCTGTCAATATCACGGTGCATTTGCTTTGCTTAATTACAGTTTAGGTGTGATTGATAATTTAAAATTTTATAAATGCATGTTTTTTCTCCTTTCCAGTTATGAATCTGTTGCTTGGGGTTGTAAATTTCTGTACATAATGCGTAAAAGGACTAGAGATAGCAAACGAAATCAGATGATGCAAGAATCTCATAGTTTTGCCATTTCAAATGGTATAGAAATCTCTTATGAGAGTATTTGTCTTGCCGATGACAAACATAAAACCAGAGAAGAGAAGAAAATGTGTCAGATTCTGACAATTTACTAATTATTGGTTTGAAGAAGAAAAAAGCCCAGGGCAGTTCCAAAATTGCCTCTCTTACTTCCACATCAGAGTTTATGCTCTTTCCTTTTCAATTCATTCATCTCATTAATGTACACATTACATGCATAATATTTCATTGTTCACAGCTTATGTCCCCACTCAATTTCTCTATATTAAATGGTAGTTGATTGCATTGAATTTGGGCAAAGTTTCCTTTTTCATAATTGTCTTCAATTATGATTCAATTTTAAAGAAAATTTATCAACTCTTCTTTTAAAATATGATTTTTCTCAAATGTCTTTTAGAATGCAATTTGGTTTCATTCCTTTGAGCCAATGTGTTTGATTTTAAAGCATTTGCCTTGCATTAATTTTTGTGGTTTACACAAGTGATGTACATATATTTCAATTCTCCCTGATTCTAATATTTTAGAGCATCCACAATGATGCTCTTTATTTTTTAGCTAAAATTTAGCTAAAAATATAATAAAGCTATTTTAGGAGCTCTCTAAAAAATTTCAACTTCAACCATACTCCCTAATTTAGAGAGTCATAAATGCTATAACTCTTTTTTGATTGGTTCATCTCTATTTAAAAATAAAATAAAAAATAGTTAGCATTAAATAAAAGTTTGAAATACTCATTCAATAAAGCAGCATTAAATTGAAGGGAGCCTCTAGGAGTCCTTTCTCTCTCCTCAGATTTAGGAGCTCCTAGAGGACTCTATTTTAGGAGGTGGATAGGAGCGTGGTTGGAGTTTCATTTTTACGATTCCTCCCTAAAATTTGTCTAAGGAGGTAGTTTAGGGAGCTCATTGTGGATGCTCTTAGTCACTTGAAATTTTTGTTCATACGAAGAAACTTCCCTGTTTTTAGAAGTTGGAGTATGGATATTTCTTAACTTCAATAAATATATAAATTTATTTACTCTTTTTTATTAATTATTAAAATTTTCTTCTTTTTTCCGTATTTTTTTGGAGCTCCCATATGAACTGACTTTCAATTACATTTTTCAAATTTGAAACATTGTTATTAAATGTTTTAAATGTAATTAACAAAACTATAACCTATAGCGTCTTATCTCTACCTTTATTCTACTTCTATAACATATAGCTGTTTATACATCATTGCTGCTTCTATAGCTTACTTCTCCACTAGATTATCTTACTTCTGTAACAAATTTGCTGATTAGGTCACTAGATCATCTTATTTCTGTTTATAGGTTATTAGGTATTTTTAGATAATTTAAATTGTGGCTTTTGCAGTTTTTGTTGTTGGCCTTAATTCTATAACAATAGCCATTGTCTTTGCTCAAATTTTCTCATTTGTCGACACTGACACTTACTGTTTACCAAGTTTATACCAACAGAGTCAACACCCCTTGATTTGATTCTATTAAAATTGTCACAATTGTTTTCAGTTTATTTTCAATTGATTCAATAAAATTGACCTTATACTTTTATCCATCAGATTAATAGAATGCTTGATGTATGTAAATTGTTATTTCTCTGGTTTACATTTTTAACTTAATTCTATCATAATAATTAACGCTTGCCATTTTCCGATTTTATATCAACAGAGTTAAAACCTCTTGAATGGAGAAGAAGGAACATCAGCCAGCTACGCAACAAATGCAGCAACAGCTAGATGCCCTTGCAAGAAACATAAAAAAAGAAAAATCCATGTCCACCACCCATTAAAATATAGATAGACGCATGTGCAAGTTTTTTTTTTAACAATATGCAGCTCAAGGCTGCTCATATTTTGATGTTTTAATAGTTGCTTGATATATTAAAATATGCATAATATTTTTACAACTTCAACTTGCCAAAGTAAGCATGATGGCACTGTTTAGATCTCAATTTATATATAAATAGGGCCAGTATTTTAACATAATAAGCAGCACATATATCATCTTATTAATTTATCTATCTTAATTTATTTTTTTGTAACTTAAACGTACTAAACTAAGCATGCTGCCACTATTTAGATCTCAATATACATATAAACAAAGCCATGTTTCCTACATATTTTTACGACTTTATACACATTTGACGCAATTTCAAAACCCGCAGCATCGCGCGGGTGGCTTTGCTAGTTTTATTCTAAATGTCAATAATGAATTTTCAATACAGCTTGTAAAAAATCAAATTTATTTAAAAAAGATTGACACATGGCGTATTTTGAATGGAAGTATCGCCAGCTGACGTGGTGATACAGTATTATTCTATAATTTCTCGTGGTTTAGGGAACCCATTGTGAATGCTCTAACTCTGTTAAAACATGAGTGACGTGGACAACACATGTTACATCATACTTAAGATTTTTAGGTTTCTTTAATTGGTTAATAAGCATTCACAATGAGCTCCCTAAACCATGTCCTTAGACAAATTTTAAGGATGAATTGGAAAAGTACAACTCCAACCATACTCTCTATCCACCTCCTAAAATAAGGAGATCTCTAGGAGCTCCTAAATCTGGGAGAGGAAAAAGACTCTTAATGACTCTCTATAATTTAATATTGTTTTATTTTATGCACATTTTAAACGTTTAATTAAATCAAATTGTTTTTTCATATTATTTTGTATACATATAGATCAATTATATTGAATTTAAAAATAATTAAAGTATTTATGACTCTCTAAAGTAGGAGTATGATTGGAGTTTAAATTTTATAAAGAGTTCTCCTAAAATAGCTTTTGTGTGTTTATAGTTAAATTTTAGGGAGTTTCACTAAAACACCCAAAATGGGGGTTGAAATTATAAAAAAACCCAAGCACTATTTAAACATATAAACACACTCAAAACCCATCATTACACACACTTAAAACCCATTTATAAACACACCCAAAAAGTTGACTTTGGGGTTGATTTTGGATGTGTTTCTATGTCTAAATAGTGCTTGGGTTTTTTTATAAATACATGTCTAGTATTGGGTTTATTTATAAATTTGTATAAATTTTAACTAAAAAATAAGGAGCATGATTGTAGATCATCTTTATATACCTTAATTTGAAGATTCTTTATTTGGGTTTCTTTCAAGACGAAAACCATATCCACAACTGGCAGACATCTTTGACTGGTCGTCACAATTGGGAGACAACGAGGAAGACAGAAAATGGAGTAACGCAGATGTTACCAGCAATCCACAACAAACTGACGTCTGCAAGCTTTCGTAATCTAACAAGGAAGGGGAGGCTGCGCAATACTCATCACCTTAGCCACCACCTGCACTCAAGACCAATATGTGTAGGCCAGGAGGCTACCCAATTTTAATATATATATATATTAAAATTATTGCTCCTAGTGGGCTCTCCTAGTGGACATTATTTTTTAGTTTTCAAGTCTTACATTCAAGTCTTACATGGCGACCTAAAATTATTGCTCCTAGTGGGCTCTCCACCCCCTCATCATTCGTCCATAAAATGGTGAAGCCAGTTGGTATTGTTACCATAAGAGCCAGCTCCAACTTTCTTTAATTTCTTGCTTCATATCCACTGGCTACATCTGTTGCCAAGTTAATTTCAGTCCTAATGGGGTTTCATCTCCCACTCATCTTTGCTCTTCTCAGTGTAAGCTCTGCAATTTGATTAACTTTTCCATTCTCTCTCATTGTACTCTATATATACAAATGAAAGTTTTGTGTTCCTATACTTCTCTCCGATTTTATTTAGTACGTACACTAGTGTCGTCCACTAATTAATTACACTTTGTGAGATTTGATTTTAATTAGAGTTCGAATTAATGTTGCAGCTAGCAGCGGTGGCACTGGCAAACCATGCTGCCCAACCAGCACCTCAACTTTACTGGAACTCCGTCCTGCCAAACACACAGATGCCAAGAACTATCAGTGAACTTCTGCATCCTGGTTTGTGTTGAATAAATGTAGTATTTTAGAATACGTATGGCAACATATTCACAAATGTGTCACTCACTCTTCAATCGGCTGATCACGTATTTTCCATTATGACGTTGATATATAATTTGCAGACCCCACAAATGAAGAACAGAGCACAAATGTCATGAATGCTGCTGGGAATGGAAAGCCAATTGACCACAAGGGCAAACCTGAAAATACTGTACTACCAGAGCTACGAATCCCATTTTTTTACAGGATATATGATCATCCCACTGATAATCAACTCCATTATAAAAACGTAGCTATTTTCTTCTTGGAGAAGGACATGCGCCCTGGCACAACAATGAACTTCCAATTCCCTAGAAATTCAAACACGGCTACTTTCCTGCCACGAGAAAGCGCTCAATTGATCCCCTTCTCCTCTAACAAACTAGCAGAAATTTTCAACCATTTTTCAGTGAAGCCAACATCTGTGGAAGCCAAAACAATTAAGCAAACAATCGAAGAGTGTGAAGCTCCGGGCATTAAGGGAGAGGAAATATATTGCGCCACATCTTTAGAATCAATGGTTGATTTTAGCACTTCGAAGCTTAGAACAAGAAACGTTCAAGCAATATCGACGGAAGTATTGGAAAAAGGAGCCACCATGTCCATCCACAAGTATACAACAATGCCGGGACTGAAGAAGCTGGCAGGTGACAAAGTCGTTGTGTGTCATAAGCAGAACTATCCCTATGCTGTGTTTTACTGCCATGCAATAAAACCAACAGCAGCTTATGTTCTCTCCCTGAAAGGCGATGATGGGGTGAAGGTTAAAGCAGTTGCCATCTGCCATCTAGACACATCAGAATGGAACCCAAAGCATTTGGCCTTCCAAATCCTCAAAGTTAAGCCCGGAACCATTCCCATCTGCCATTTCCTTCCCACTGATCATATTGTCTGGGTTCCGAACCACAAATCTGCATGATCATAACTTAGCACTGTACGTATAATAAGCTTGCAGCCCTCTATAATTATCTCCCTATTTCTGCCTCTTCATCATGTGGTGTAAGATATATGATGAGATGAAGTTTTTGGATTAGTGGTCAAGTTGCCTAAAAATCACAGATTACAGAAACTGCTTGAAATTAATTAACCCGATCATGTTTTCTCTTGGAACTATATAGACTTCAACTTGTACTCATAAAGCATGCTATATTTATGATAGAGATATATGAAACGACCTGACCCAATTTCCACTTTGGAATCCAGGTCGAAACCTGTTTAAAACTGACACCTGGTAACCGTGGATCGTAAATGACCAAAATGCCCTAAAAACGGTAACATAAACCTTGAGCCCCTAACTCGTGGCTGCACCTGATAATTGTAGGCTGCCTATGTACCCTTACTGAGGGATCAAGCTACACGTAATTATTTCCTCTGTTCCTGACCTGTAACTGGTTTGTTTTACTGTAAACCTCACTCTAGGACTGACATTTCTGGAGTATCCGAGACTCCGTTTTACGATCCGTCAAATACCATACGATCCTGAAATTACCTAGGTCAACATATCCGAAAATGGTTACAATCCAACGGTTCGAAACTATTGAACCCGCAAATCACACAATATGCGAGATCCTTTCGGGGTTCAAACGTTAACCAAATTGAGATCCACGAATTCTTACGCGCTCGTGACAACCCAAGGATCATTCTAGAACTAAAAGGGGTCTCTACCAATCTGCCCACGCGCCGGCAGCGCTTGGGTGGCTTGATCAATTCCTGGCGATATAAAAACTCCAAACCACCGACCCAAACTCCTAACTTAAGTAAAATACCCCATTTGGAACAACTTTTGTTCTTGGACATACTCCAAAAAGTGGCCGGAACTGGCCGAAACAGTGACCCGAAAATCTGCTGAAACCTAACTTAAACACTCGAATGATCAACACTTGAAATCTCTGAAATCCTACCCAACCAGCAGCTAGAGTATGAAAAATAGCTACAAAACCATAACTCCCTCGTCCGATTTGGTGGCCGGAGGCTTCCAAACGAGCTCCCGAAAGTTTACTAAAAAACTGTCCACCACCGCCTGTTTCGTAGCTGATTCCGGCGACCACACTGGCGGATCACGGCTGGGATGGGTTGAGACTGAAAGAGGGTAGTGAGGTGGTTCGTTTGGCACTGGTCTTGCTCAATTTGGTGGTCGGAGCTGAGAGAAATCCTCTCCTAAAGTCGGCTGCTCGAACTCCAGAGAGAGAAAAAATCTGGGTTTTTCTATATTTTAAAAATTGAAGTTTGAAATATTTACGGTTATACCACTGAACTTCTTTTAATCGTAACTCCTTCGTTACAACTCCGATTTGAGTCCACTATGTGTCTACGGACTCATCTCGATGCGCTCTACTCAACGGTATAACTTAAATCCCAAAATTCCTTCCCAGTCAAAAAGTCAACTTTTAAACTAATAAAATATTCTATGAGTATAGTGGTCTTTTATTTGAATAAATTAATAATTAAATATTAATTAAGGACCGGGTTGTTACAATCTACCCCCCTTATAAAAATTTCTTCCTCGAAATTTACTTAACCTTCACTTGAGGGGGTGAGGGTACTAGGCCCACAACTGCTACTCGGGTTCTCAAGTTTGCTATTCTAATACTGCACTCACCACTTGCATCTCAATAATTGTATCTATATGACAATCAGTAAAATCTTCTAAGTGCTAAAATCAACCTTTGATTCTAAAGATGTGGCGCAATATATTTCCTCTCCCTTAATGCCTGGAGCTTCACACTCTTCGATTATTTTCTTAATTGTTTTGGCTTCCACCAATATAGAGCTTAATTACTTCCCACTGCCTCACTTACTTAAATTCATTTGAGGGAAGTGGCATGATGTGATGTATCAGACATAATTGTGAATATACAATTGTGGCATGTGGGAAAAAGGTACCGAAGGTTTTTGAGATAAAACCTCACAGCTGGATGGTCCATAAAATATATGGTTAATCATAATGAACACAAGTGGTTAAATTTGAGATAATATTGAAAATAATAATACACAAAAGGTTTTCAATCGAGAGGGGGTGGAGAGCCCACTAGGAGCAATAATTTTAGATCGCCATGTCATCTAAGACTTGAAAACAAAAAAATATGTCCGTATATAACTAAAGGGTACAATTTCTGCTTTATTAATTTTACTTGATTTTCCGTGGTTCAGAAAATTCCCTATATGTCCCTATATATTTAGAGGGTACCATTATAATAATCTAACCCTTTAGAACATGAAACATTATCAAGTTTTTTTCCTTCTCTAAACAAACGCTAACTATTGTTGTTAAACAAATGGTAGTTGGAGATTCCGAGCATCTACACTGCTGTAGTGTTAATATGGACAAACTTGCTTGCAACTTGTGGTTTTCTCTTTGGGCTGTGGAGCTGGAAATCTAAATAATTAGGAATTGACTAAAAAAATAAATTAAAATAATTGAACTTACGTCTGGTTCAGTCTTTTGTCTTTTACAAACCCAAGGCCATGCTCTGCGTCTACCTTCAACACATGGCCGGCAAAAAGATAAGGTACATAGCTAGAAGACATTAATTCAATCTGGCAAAACTTGTCTCGCATAAACATATAAAACAAGAAAGTTGTTCTATATAGTCCATCATTGATTGCACTAAACCCTTATTATTAGAAGAAAAATTATATTTCCATCTACCGGAGGAACCAAGTAAGCTGCATTGAGCTTCTCTTGTAATCGACCAAAGGGAAACCAACTTTGTCGTTTGAGCATAGCAGGTGCAAATTTAACTCACCTCCTTTTTCGTTCTTGTTTTTTTCCAGTTTGTAATCATTTGTAGCACATTTCCATTTTCTTGAAGCTTTCACAGTACGTAGTTCGAAATTGGAATCAAGCAATGGCTATGCGAATTGTGTAATTGTGTTTTTACTTTCAATGGAACTTTGGTTTGTCTGTGTGTGTTTTGACTGAAAGCATGAGAAATCTATCAAGGAGGATAAGATCTAGTACTATCTAGGATTTTAGTAACAGTTTTCATGTTATAATCAGAACTGCTTTAGAATTTTCTAAGAAGTGATGGAGGACCAACAGAGTTTTGTACGAATTTGGATGTAATTATTGCGAAGTAATAATAAGGTGTTTTTATGTTTTATGTGAGTTGCCTATAGAGTTCTGGATGTGTATATATATATAAGCGCAAATTAAGGGTTGGTTTGATCTTAAGCATCTATTGTTTGATTTGGAATAGATTCTGTGATGTTTCGTACATTTTTTTTAAGCATGTTTACTAATTTTTGTGGAAGCATCTTGGAATGTTAATAATATGAATGAAATCCTCACATCGTTTACAATCAGAAAGAACACCACAGATCAGGAGGCAAATGGAAGGAAATCAGGATCCATTTGACATAGAAAACCAACACATTCCATTAGCAACTTGCATGAGAGATGAATTGAGTAAGTTGTCTCCCCAGCCGCCTATGGTCTGTTGCATTTATAGGGTTCCTGATCGACTACGACACGTAAATGAAAAGGTCTACACACCTCAAGTCGTCTCTATAGGCCCACTTCACCATGGCAAGCAAAGCTTAAAAGCCATGGAAGAGCACAAAAAAAGGTACCTGCAAGGTTTTTAACGCGGACCAGGGTAAGCTTGGAGGAGTATGTAAAGAAAGTAAAGTACCACGAAGCAAAGCTGCGTAGTTGTTATGAAGAAAGCATAAAGTTTAACAGTGATGAATTCGTAAGAATCATTCTTGTGGATGCCGCCTTCATCATTGAACTCTTATTGAGAATTTGCCGTGAACGTTTCAATATCATTGGATTGGAAAATTACGAAAATGACCGTATATTCAACAAACCATGGTTGATACATTATATAGCGCCTGACATGCAATTGCTTGAAAATCAACTGCCATTTTTCATTCTTGAGGATCTTTTTGACCCTGACATAATTACAGTCTCTTCTAACAGTAAGAAGCTTTCAATGATTAATCTCTCTTACGAGTTCTTGACAATGACACTGGCATTAGAGGGGGCAGAAGACAGTTTGAAGAGAATTTCTTCTTCTAGTAGTAATCCTAAAGTTGAACATTTTCTTGATTTTATAAGAACTTTACATCTTCCAATATTGGAGGAATCAGATCAAAGTAATGAAGGGCCAAGCAAAAGTATTATGACTACACCCTGCATTACAAAACTACACCAGGCTGGGGTCAAGTTTAAGTTGGGATCAAGCAGAAACTTATTCGATATACGATTCAACGATGGGATTCTAGAAATTCCAAAACTACAAATACACGATTACACAGAGCTCACACTCCGTAACCTCCTTGCCTTTGAACAGTGCCATTGCCAAAACAATTACATAAGTGATTATGTTTCACTCATGGATGACTTTGTGAACACCGAAAAGGATGTAGAGTTCCTTCTGCAGGATGGGATTGTCGAAAATATGCTTGGTGACTTCAATGAGGTGTGCACTCTGATTAACAACCTCGGAAGAGGAGTTTCTGTGGATCGTGACAGCTTCTACTTTGCTACTCTTTCTGAGCGCCTCAATATCTACTGTAGAAAGCCTTGGAACAGATGGAAGGCAAATTTGAGGCAAAATTATTTCAATACACCTTGGGCAACTATTTCTGTCATTGCAGCTGTTTTGCTCCTAATACTGACTTGCATTCAAGCAGTGTGCTCTATTATTTCTGTTATGCCTTCTAAGAACCAGAGGCATTAGTCTCTCTCTCCTTAGTTCACCATTTTCTCCCTATTGGTCCTTTTTTTTTCCTTTCTGTATCATCTGTTAGTAAACTAAGTGTTCTGTGTTGATGTTAATATGCTTGTTTCATTTGTTTGTTTGTTTAGAAGGCATATATAGTGAGATTGATCTTGCTTCTGTTGTAGAATTTCTAATTGTGTTCGCATATGCAAACTTAAATAGAAGGATTTTGGACCAAAAACAAAACAAAGGATAACGCATTAGTCCGTAGAACCAAGCTTTCAATGCTACTTTAGGTTATATACAAGCAAAGGTGCCCGCGTGATGCTGCGGGTTTTAAAACCATCTTAAATGTGTACAAAGTTGTGAAAATATGTAGCTAAGTTATAAAATAACCACACAAAAAAAAAAAGGGAAGGAAATACCAAGCTTTCATTCAAATCAAGAAACACAAATAAAACATTTTGGACGAAAAGTTAACTACTTTGAGCATAATATTCAAGGACAATAAGTGAACAAAAAGTTTCGAACAAAAACAGGAAAAAGAAAAAAAAATTCAACCTTGTCTAGCCTACAAAGAACCTCCTCCTACTCACAGCCTCTTCTTGACTCTCTTATACACTGTTAACATCTTGCAAAAAACGAAAATAAATGAAGATCACTACAACTTCAACTAAAAACATCAAATGAACTATTGCTTTCTAATTGAACACATTGCAGTCCATAAAACCCAAGAAAAATGTCAAATTATGACCAGATAAATCCTGCATATTTTCCATATGACATAATAGTAGGAAACAAAACAATCACTGTATCTATGAAAGCATTTTGTGGAAGGCATTGAAATGAATGGGATCTAAATCACACAGAGTTCCATCAATATCAAATAGTATTGCTTCAAGTGGAGAGGGAAAAAAAAGGACAATAAGGCATTAGTACAACAAAAGAATGAAACCAAAACAATACAAATGTAACACTTGCGCCACATGTTTCTCTATAATTTATCTATCACCTTTTCATTGCTCAATTCGTACACAACATGAGATGATGCCAAACATAAATATCCTTTTGAATAGCTGCGATAATTTATTTTACTACTTTGGGCATAATATTCAGGGAGAATAAGTGAACCAAAAGGGTCTAACAAAAAAAGGAAAAATAAATAAAATAAAAACCATATTCAACCTTGTCTAGTCTTGCAATGCACACAGTCATCGGCTTCACCCAAGCATCTCTAAGTGACAATTCAAATCCACCATGAACCAATCCATAAGCTCAAACATAGAGCCCAATGAGATGATAAACCATCACACAAAAGGCTTAATTTTGGTCGAACAGAGCAATTCAAGGATATGGTTCTCACCTGAAATGCTTTGTTCAGGTTGCAAAATCACCTTTATCTTCATGCTCAAACCCTTCAACAACAAAAAAATAATGACAGGAAATTTTCATTGTAATTCCAAGCACATGCAGGAAAGAACAAAGGCACCAAATTTTCAATCCAACATAATTATAGAACAAAGACTCAAACTTTTGCCCTTATGTCCTTGAGATTCCACAAAAACCCATGTGATTTCAACAAAAAGTAGTAATGTTATCAAGCGGGTGACCTCAAACGCTCTTTAAGCATAATTAGTGAACTCCTACCCGCAAAACAATAGTAAAATATTTAAAAAGATGAAATTTTCTGCTTTTTTCTTGCATTTTCTTATCAAACAAACAGTTTTAATCCAGTTTATGTTTGGGTGAATTTAAAGTACTAAATGTGATATGAGTTAAATTTATCTGCCATCAAGCACTCTCTAAAACCTGCAAAGTCAAGAGGTGTCAATAAGAGATTCAGAAGAACAAACGTGAGCCCCCTCATATATCTCCTATATTTTTAGTGGTGGTTTTATCCCCATATTTATTTTATTTATTGAATGGGGTAGGTTCATACCCATACAATTTATTTGCTGTATGGTGTAGGTTTATTACCCATACAACAGTATTTACTTAAAAGGGTGGCGCGGGTTTATCGTCCACGCCTTTACTTTTATTTAAAAGTATGGAGCATAATTAGTGTCCATACAAGCACATTTACTTTATTGTTGTATGACGTGGTATTAACCCTCATACAAGTTACAACAAGCAATTTATTTTATCGCACATTCACTTTATTATTTAAAGTATGGTGCGGGATTAACGTCCATACAGCAAGCAATTTACTTTATCGCACATTTACTTTTACTTAAAGTATGATGTGGAATTAACCCTCATACTTTATGAATTTACTTTACCGCACATTTACATTTATTTAAAGTATGGTGCGAGTTTATCATCCATACCAGCAATTTATTTACCACCAATTTATTTACAAGCAATTTATTTTATGGACTAATTGTGCTTTGTGATGAATTTTTACAATATACAGATCAGGACTAGAAGTTCCTTGATCCTCATCATACAACTACATTAGGATTTGAAGATCGTTGATGATGATATTGAAATGAGAGCTGGCAGTCTCTTCGGTACTATATTTGTAAACATGTGATCGGACTTGAGAGTCCTTGATCCTTGACATGTAAATAAGGACCGAGGGTTCCTTAATGATGTAATAATATCGTATTGGTTAATAGTGACGTACACATGGATAATAACTGTACTGGCAAATGTACTGTACACATGAATAGATACGTATTCATGATTTGATGAATAGTACCGGATATATGAATAGTGATGTATACATAAATTTAACCATTTTGGATAAACCGTCACTATATACAAAAGGAAACATGCAGTCCCTTAAGCTCATGGATGAACATGTTGTCAAAATAAATAACTAGCTAGTATGAAAGTAGTATTTCTTTGCTTCATCACTTCACAATACTATCTTTTTATTGATCGAATCACAATAGAATACAATACTTGGTACATATATCACCCTACAATAAGCACACAGAAAAGTTTAACCATGAAATTCAAAATGTTTTATTCAACCACCTCGACCTTTAATTTGGTGAAAGCTTCTGTCTACCTACTGTGCACCGACCTACCCCAATAATTTGGTGAAAGCTCGATCATTTTGCACAAGCCAATGACAAGTCCAAATGATCGACCTCTTTGCACAAGCTAAAAAGTTAATACAAATAAACCACACAATAAAATCTCCAAACTCACAAAGAAACCACTATATAGTCTAATATAGGAACTTCTATTTTTCCTTTTTAATCTCTCTCACGCTTGCTTTTTTTTTGGGTCGAATCTCACACTTGCTTTAAGGAAACCTGGCTGTGGGGAAAAAGATATAGAGAACACTGTAAATGAGACTTGTTGTGGTTCATGCTCTAGCAGCAGAGATAATAGAGCACACAGTTTGGATAAGAGTGAGTATGAGGAGAACAACAGCTGCAATGACAGAGAGAGTTCGCCATGGTGTGTTGAAATAATTTTGTCTCAAATTTGCCATCCTTTTGTGACTTGTCGAACTGCAGTACCTGTTCAGGTCTTGATAAAGATTAGCAAATGTGAAGTCAGGGGATCCAAAAATCCCAATGCCAAGGTTATTAAATAGAGCAGCCACCTCTTTCCTGTCACCTAGAACATTTTCAATAATTCCACGATCAACAAGCAAATCCACATCACTTGCGTTGTTCACAAAACGATCCCCATCATCATATAATCACATACATAACAGTGCTGGTAATGACACTGTTCAAAGGCAAGAAGATTTCTAAGTGAGATCTCTGTGTGATCCTCTACCCGGATCTTTGGAATTTCAAGAATCCCATCAGTGAATCGTATGTCAAATATGTTTTTCCTCGATCCCACCTTAAACTTCACTCCCGCCTGGTATAGCTCTGTCCCGCTTGGTGTAGTTAGATTATCTAATCGTATTGATGGAACAACTTCTGATTGGCATAACGATCTTAAAATAAGATCCAAAAAATGTTCTACTTTTTTTGTAGAACTTAATCTCTTTAAAATGAACTCTTGATCTGCTTGGTACATCAGAATCATTGTCGAAGTGAAGAATTTGAGAGAAAGAACAGTTACAAATGTTGAAAGTCTGTCATCAGAAGTGTCAGAATCAGAAGAGAGTGTACCTTCTTGTAGATAAAAAAGATCCTCGAGAATGAAGAATGGTAGTTGATTCTCAAGCAATTACATGTCAGTCATTAGATCATGAAACATCACTGGTTTGTTAAATATGCGGTCATTTTCTTTTCTCGGTGTCCTGAAATTGCGTTTCAACAAGAGCTCGATGATGAATGTGGCATCTACTAGAATGATTCTTACAAATTCATCACTGCTAAATCCAATGGTTTCTGCATAACAACTTCTTAATCTTGTTTCTTGGTCTCTAATTTTCTTTATGCAATCCTCCAAGCTTACTTTGGTCCGACATAGAAATTCCTGTAGGTACCTCTTTTTATGCTCTTACATGGCTTCAAACCCTTTCTTGCCATGGTGGAGTGGACCTATAGAGACTACCTGAGGTGTGTACGCGTTTTCATTTACAAGTCTCAATCGCTCTGGAACTCTGTAAATACAACATGAAGAGGATGAAGGAGATAACCTACCCAATTCCTGTCTCATGGAAGTTTCTAATGGAATGTATGGGTTCTCTATATCAACTGGAGCAGCTTGATTGCTTCCTTCCATTTTCCTCTTGATGCGCTATAAAACAAAAGATAAGAAACTAAAAACTTCAATAAAATGGATATCTGCAAGTAGAACAAGAAGAAGTATATATATACCCCAGAAGAAAGATTATATATATATATATATATATATTCATGAAAAACAAAACAATTCTTAGATATAGGTCGACTTTTATCAAGATGTAATGGATGCAGTCTACATGCTCCCTTTTCAATTTCAGCCCAACAACCTTTTGCTTCGCCAAGTAAGCAACTAATATATCCACAATTTTTAAGGAATTTACAATATATGTCATTATCATAAATGAAAGTCAATAAAAACACCTCCCTAAAATTCGAGCGTCTCCTACAAAAGGAAGTGAGTTTAGGGAATGTACCAAAAGCTTCGAGAAACTAAAAGCACCTTCTAAAAGTTTACATTTACATTTCCGTGAAAGATAAGAAACTAAAAGCTTCAAGAAAATGGAAATGTACTAGAAAAGGAAGTGAGTTAAATTTGCACCTGTATGTTCAAAGGACCAAGTTGGTTTCCCTTCGGTCGATTAGAAGAGAAGCTCAATGCAGCTTACTTGGTTCCTCTGGTAGATGAAAATATAATTTTTCTCCTGTAAGGTGATGGGCAGAACAACTTTTTTGTTTTGATGTTTATGCGGGACGCGTTTTGCCAGATTAAATTAATGTCTTCTAGCTTTATCTTTTCCATATAGCCGTTGGTACCTTTATCTTTGTGCCGAGCCATGTGTTGAATGTAGAGGCAGAGCATGGACTTGGGTTGACTTGTATAAGACAAAAGACTGAACCAGATGTACGTTCAATTATTTTAATTTATTTTCGTAGTCGGAGCCATTCAAGCTCCTTTCCCATGTTTTGTAGTCGTACCTAACAAAGTTCTAAGTTATCACATCAAATTTATTTTACACCATGAAATTCAAAAAGTTTTATTTGCAGGGTTTTGCTCGATCATTTTCCACAAGCAACCGTCCACGTACGTGACGTCCCCAATAATTTAAAAGGGCCGATGATCTTTAATTTGGTGACAGCTTCTATCTACCGACCGTGCTATATCTATATAAATATAAGAATAATAAAAACAATAAATGTTATTAATACTTGTGTTTTAAACTACATGTTTAAATTAAATATAAGAATAATAAAAATTAAGAACCAAGGAACTTGAAAGTTCCAATTAGAATTTGATTACAATATTTGATTCCATTAGCTATATTCTTGTTTGAAGCTAGTAATAAAGCAAATTCTGAAGAACAAGAAAAAAAAATTTGAAAGCAGATATAGTACAGAAAACAATAGACAGACCAAAATTCCAATATTGAATGAAAGAAGAAACTTAGAACATCCCTATGCTTAATTCCAATTACCAACTACGTACCAAATGAAACATTATGAATTGAAAAGCAAAAAACCAAAAACAAAAAAGCAAAAAAGAGAAGTGAATTTGCAGACCCTGTATATATGTATAAACAAGGCCAAGATTGCTGTGCGTCTGGTAGATTTCTAGAAAAGCTCAGTGCAGACAGCTTGCTCCTCTGGTATAGATATATGAAATATAGAAATCTTGCCTCAATAATGGATGTCAACCATGGTGATTCATCAAACTTATCCATGTCTCAGTTTGTTCTTTTGTACTTGGACATATTTGTTCTTATCTTTGACATTTAAATGTTCTTCTTTTTTCTAGCTTTAATCTACTCTTTTACCTAACATCCCCATAATTCTAATAACTATTGTGTGTTTGACAATATAAGCAGATGGCTTGCGTGAAAATTAAAGGGCCGATGGTACGTTGAAGGGTTCTCCTTCATCCTAATTAGGGTTATAACCCAGACTATACGTATACATATATAGATGGCTTGTACGTATAATCATTTGTTTTTCGAGGTAGGTTCTATTAGAGAATCTAGAGATCATCATTTCTGATTATCTTTATCCAATTTATTAATCATTTTATCAATCATTAATGCGGGACTTGCATGGTGTTGCCATTTACTGTTATTATAAATGAGAACACAATAATAACATTTCCAAATTTCTAGCATATCCATAATTATTTTATATCCTCAATTTTAGGGATTAAGTTTCTAACAATTCAAATCCTAAACCCTAAACCCCAAATCCTAAACCCTATATGGAATAGGTAAAATGTAACAAACCGATCCTTAATAAATTCTTAATTATTATTTTATTCAATGAAAGAACTAAGTGTGGCTTGATCCCTCAGTAAGGGTACATAGGCAGCTTGATGTTACAAGGTGCAGCCACGAGTTGAAGTCCTTGAGATTACTAATATACGTTGGTATTCTAAAGGTTGAGATGAACCTTACTAACAAGATGATTTATTAGATTGGTTGAGGCCTGAGGCCAGAATTATATGATGTTTGATTCCTGGACATAGTTCGATACATGATGGCAGTTGGGTTACATATGTATATGCTTTTTTGATAGGTGGAAGTTTTGGGGAAACGAGCAGATTATAGGGGAGACTCTGCTGAATTTTCGGCAGAAGTCTAGCTGATAGATAAACTGGTTTCTAGTGAGAAGGGCATTTTGGTCATTTCTGTCCGGCAACCGCCAAGTGTCGGACACACAGGGTTTGACTCGAATTCCAAAGTGGAATTTGGGTCGAGTTCTTTCATAAAATATTTTTTAGGTACCCATATTTTTCAATTCCCCAATTTACCTATATTACACAAGTAAACTCTTTACCTATATTCTTTCTTTTTTTTGTCTGAGGACTTGCGTGTATTTATATGTATATTGATTTCCCTATATTTTCACAAAATTTGCAACTCAACTTTGGCTAAGGACTTACCTAAACTATAGGTAAACTATTTACCTATTGTTCTTTACTTTTTGAATAATACTAGTCGTACCATATGTTTATACCACATAATGTGGCAGTTGATGTGTATAAAGGTGAGCATCTCATTCGAATTATCCACGTATCGACTGTACCATATCGACGGTTTGGTTTGGTTTGGTTAAATAATTATTTTTTAATTTTAATTATTCCGATCCGATCTGATTTGTACCAAAATGTTTAGTTTGGTTAACGGTAACTATCCCTAACCCGAAGGAAACCCGTACCGATCCGATATTTATACTTATTTTTTTATTTAAATACAAAACAAGAAATCAAAGGTTTACAATCAATATTTTGTATCACTGTTGTATCACTCTCGTATCTCTCATGTATCACTGTTGTATCACTGCTTTATCACCATTGTATCGCTTCTTTATCACCCAGATACTGTAGCACTTTTAGGTCAAAGAGGAATTTATGAACTTCCTATGTTTTCCAATTTTGACCCTTGTCTCATTTTTTACTTCTAACTTTCCAACCGCTAATCCAAATTTTATGATTTTTATATGGTTGGATTCAGTATGAAAAACTAAAGAACCTAGTGCTGACCAAATGTCAAAATTAGTTACATAAATGTATAGAATTCAGTTAAAATACACTCAAAGGTTCAAACAACAAACACAAGTGGCTTCTATTACATCTTGAGTACATATTGAATGATATAGTGACTAAGTTATTTGATTTCGTACTTGGATGAATTAGACTATGGGATTTTTGTATTTTACAAGGATAATTTGGTGTATTTGTTCAAGAACTTATGTTATGTGAAAGTATTATAAATTGTATTATGGTACTACCGGTGTACCAAATCAATCCGAACCGAATGTTAGGTTAATCGATCCGAAGTATACCGAAGTCTTTGGTTTGGATAATGGAAGAGCCCTCTATCATTCCAAACCGATCCGTGCCCCGGCCTAGATGTGTACATACCACATGTAAAATACTATAGTTTTTATTTTTCTAATTTTATTTATTAAAATACACTTCATTCATTTAATTGATATGGCATATGATATGTACTATAGTTTTTATTTTTCTAATTTTATTTATTAAAATACACTTCATTCATTTAATTGATGTGGCATATAATATGGACAAGTTACATCATGTGGTATAGAAATCTAGGATAAAAATATGTAAGTGTAGCATTTTTCTTATTTTTTGGGCTATGGACTTATGGTGTATTTATATGAACAGTAATGTTAGGGGCACAAATTCTTTTACCAACTTTTTGATACCAACTAATGTGGCAAGTGACATGGGAATCCATGTCATGTGCCACATCATTATTTAATTAATTTTTTATACATCATTTTAATTCATTCAACTTTTATATGTTTATTCTAAATATATATAAAAAACTTTAATTGTTATCTTATCCTTGAATCCCATCGGCAATCATCCTTAAGCCTACCACCAGCACCATCCGTTGCAGCCATTGTAACTGTCGAAAAACTGTTGCCCATTGCAGTATCATCTCCTTAAAAATGGTTTTTCTCTTTTCTTGCTCTGCAGCCAAGTGGAAGAGGTTGCAACCAAGTTACCTATAATTGACAAAATTTGCAACTCAACGTGTCTTTTTTGGCTAAGGAGTAGCTAGAAAATTTGCAACTCAATTTAACGTTGAATAATTATTTCCTCACTTTTAGGGATTATGTTCCCAAAGTATACATGCGTGAAACAATTTGAAACTTAAAACAATCAGGAGATTAATATGTGAATAGAAGAAATTGCAATAAATTCCACCAAATAAGCGCATTTTAGGAGGGAAGAAAATCAACACAATAAATTGACAAAAACAACACTTAAATACACCCCACATAACACGGAAATTGTAATTAGGGGTACTTTTGGAATGTGGAAAGTAAAATAAATCAAGTTTTAAGCTTAATTAGGCAATTTGTTGAGTTGGATCCTAGTGATCGGGTTTTATTTAGAAAAATAAGATTTTAGTTGTAGAAAAATAAATTTATGGGTTGCAAGCAAGGTCTAAAATATCGAGAGTTTCAGAAATATCGGTGGTCCAAAAACACGGATATATCGATAAAATATCGATATCGATAAAAATTATGGAAATTGTGAGAAAAACTTGGAAATTTTTATTGAAACTTTAGAGGATGTTTATTTAGTCAATTGTCTATTATTTTATCACAAAAAATTGGAATAAAATGCATGGCATGGTGGGTTAGAGTGATTTAAGTTGATTATGCAGCGACCTAACAAACACCGTGTCTTTAGAAAATATGTAGTAATGAGCAAGGTCTTAAATATCGATAGTTTCGGAAATATCGGTGGTTCAAAAACACGGAAATATCGATGAAAATATCGGGAAAATATCGATATCGATAAAAATTTGATAAAAACCACGGAAATTATGATAAATACATGGAAATTTTTAATGAAACTTTAGAAGAAGTTTATTTAGTCAATCATTTATTATTTTGACACAAAAAATTGGAAGGAAATGCATTGCATAATGGGTTTGTGAAGTTGATTATATTGCGACCTGACAAACTCTGTGACTTAGAAAATCTGAAGTAATTAATGAAAGAGAATTAAGCACCCCTTAGTAATTTATTTATCATTTTTTAGTACAATATTTTACACTTTATAAATTGCATGATAAGATACATGAGTAACCTTATTTCACATTATTCATTGGACATGGTACACGTTGTTATATCTATTAATTTATCAAAAATTAAAAAATAATTAAAGATGTAAACCAACTTGATTTGTCATGAAATTAGGCACTTTACCATGCTTAAAAAATAATAGTGAAGATTGAAAATTAACTAAGAACATAAATAAATTTATCCAATGAAGAATTAAATAGGAAATAAAGAAAATGATTATAGAAATTTAAGTAATTAAGCAACAATTTATTTCACGTTATTCATTGGACATGGTACACGTTCTTATTTATTATTTATCAAAAATTGAAAAATAATTAAAGATGTAAACCAATTTGATTTTTCATGAAAATTAGGTACTTTACCATGCTTAAAAAATAATAGTGAAGATTGAAAATTAACTAAGAACACAAATAAATTTATCCAAGGAAGAATTAAATAGCAAATAATGAAAATGATTATAGAGATTTAAGTAATTAAGCAACAATTTGAAGGAGAATTTAGTAATGTAAGTACTTATAATGAGTAATAAAATAATCAATAACATTAAATGGATTAAATAGAAAAGAAATAAATTATGTTAAGTAATTAAGTCACATTTCCCACTTCCCAAGTACTTTCACGTTTCCCTACCTCCCTCTCCCACTTCCCAAGGTTGCAGATACATGCAGCCTGCCTTCTCTTTCTCTTTTGGGCATTCACCCATTTCTCCCTTTTTATTTTATTTATTTATTCTACACTTTCTCTCTCTCTCTCTCTCTCTCCGTCTCTCTCTTCTTCCTCTTCCCTCTTCTCTTTCTTCCATCACAATCCAAAACAGTACAACATAAAGACCCACTCCATACGTTTTTCCCTCTTCTTCCCTTCTCTCTCTCGCTCTCCTCTATCTGTTTTTTTTTCTTTCTTCTTCTATCTCTCCGTCTCTTTCCCTACTTCCTCTTCCCTCTCTCGCTTCATCACAATCCAAAACAGCAAAATATAAAAACCCACTCCATAATTTATTTTTTCCTCTTCTTCCCTTCTCTCTCGCTCTCCTCTTTCTTTTTCTTTTTTTCTGAGTTGAGTTAAGATTGAGTTGAGAGACAGAGAAAGGCTGAGTTTCGGAGGCTGAGGGATTCATCTGAAGGCTGAGTTTAATTTTGTAAGTTCATGTCGCAATATTATCGATAATATCGCGATATATTGTCCATTTAAAGCTGCAACTTGAAGGAAAATATCGTTATTGAAATATCGGCGAAATTATCGAGGAAATTATCAATAAATTGACGATATATATATATGGGAATGTGCTAAAATATCGCTGCCCCAAAAAAACGATAATTTCGCCGAAATATCGGCGAAATTATCGATATTTTGTTCTATGGTTGCAAGTAAGGAAATATGAGTTTGAAGGGGGATAGCAAAATTTACAATTTTTTTTTATCGAAACCCAAATAGAAACAAAGGATTTCAGTGAATTTAATATATAAAAGGTGCAACAAAGCCTACTGGAAGCATCATATGCAACAAGAAAAATAATACTCATGAAAAAAGATCAATGACAAAGATAAGCACTCATCATTAAATAACAACACAACACAATCAGTCTTCATTGTCCTAAGTCTTTAGAGCTCACTCAGATAAAGTACTTATATGCAACATAATAGAAACAAGAAACTAGCAGACTGTTTGAAATGAAATTGAGTACATCATATAATCGAGTGGAATGCCTTCCAGTTGTTCCAGCAGGAACTATTCAGCTTTTCACAAAGATCAGCGAGGCTGAAAAGTAAGTGCAGGAGCCAATTAGTCTATGGTATATATGTTTGATAATATAATTTTGATCAAAAACCAGCATGTAGGGCCAAAATTTAGGATACGGAAACTTACTGGTTGTTGCTTGGCAGAGATGATAGAGCACACTGTTTGTATGACAGTGAGCACGAGGAGAACAACAGCTGCAGCGACAGAGATAGTTGTCCACGGTGTGTTGAAATAATTTTGCCTCAAATTTGCCTTACTTTTGTGCCACGTCGAACTGCAGTATTTGTTCAGGTCTTCACAAAGAGCAGCAAAATAGAAGTTATCGGCGTCCAGGGTGACCCCATTCGCCAGGTTGTTAATCAGGATAGATGCGTCATTGCTGTCACCAAGACTATTTTCAACAATCCCATACTTAACAAGCAACTCTACATCCCTTGGGGTGTTCACAAAACGATCCATCATGACAACATAATCATTTATTAAATTATGCGTGCAATGACATTGTTCAAAGGCAACAAGATTCCTGATTGTAAGCTCTGTTTCAGGGCTTATTTTTAACTTCGGAATGTTCAAAGTCCCATTAGTGAATCGTATGTCAAATAAGTTTGGGTTTGATCCTACCTTAAACTTGACTCCAGCTGTGTGTAGCTCTGTGATGCTGGGTGTGGTTAGAGTTTCAAGTTTCCCTCCATCTCGTGATTCGACTGGTAGATACAGATTTCTACAAAGATCAACAAAATGTTCTACTTTTGAAGAACACATTCTCTGCAAACTATCTTCTGTTCCTTCTATATCCATTAGTGTTTTGAACCAGTCGTGAGAAAGAGTAATTATTGAATTGTTAGAAGAGACTTGAATTTTGTATAGCTTGAAAAGATCCTCAAGAATGAAAAGTGGCAACTGATTTTCAAGCAACCGCATGTCAGGCCATACATCCTGTAACATATATGGTTTGTTAAAAAGGCGGTCATTCGCATCTTGAAATTCATGGAATTTGTTCTTCAATAAGATCTCAATGACGAAAGTTGCATCCACTAGAATGATTCTTACAAATTCATCAACTGTAAACTCAATGGTTTCTGCATAACATCTACGCACTCTTGCTTCTTGGTCCCTTATTTTCTTTACAAGATCCTCCATGCTTATGTTGGTGCGACGCAGAAAATCTTGTAGGTATCTCTTTTTGTGCTCTTCCATGGATTTTAAAGATTTCTTCCCATGATGCAATGGGCCTATAGAGACTATCTGAGGTGTGTAGGCCTTTTCTTTTACATGACGTAGCCGCTTAGGAACTCTGTAAATGCAGCACGAAGAGAACAGTGTAGACAACCCATGCAATTCCTCTTTCATTAAAGTTGCCAATGGAGTGGGAGGATTCTCAATGTCATGTGGAGCAACTTCATTGCTTTCTTTCGTCTTCCTCTCCATGTGTGATTGCAAATTACTGCGCCACAATGAACAAATCCTCTAATATCAACGTTCCAATATGGCAATACGCTCCGACCAAAAATTGAAAAAGCATCACAGAAGGAAAAAGCAAACGGCAGATGGTTCGCAAATTAATCCAAACATTGGTTGCAACTATATATACATATAACTTTACTATTGGCACTTCAAAGAAAACAAGAGACCTTATTACTGTTGGTGTAGGTAGCTCGATATAAGCATGATGTGTAAGTCCCGCATCAAAGAATACAATAATAATTTGCAATTCAACTATAGGTGGTCCACTCCTAATTGCACCAAGGCCTTTTAAGATAAAACCCCACACCAAGAAGTCCACTGGGCCTAACCCAACTCATGTATTGAACATAGGTGGTTAAGGTGGGGACAATATTGGTGCATGGTTTGATAGGTAGTGGGCTTCTATTTGGCCCGTTGGTTTATGCCTAAGTGTTCTTATAGCCTTAAGGACGCTAGTGTGTTGGAGATGGTGGACAATAAGAAACAAAAGCAACTACAAATGGCTAGTGTGAAAATCAAGTTCAAGTCATTCACCAGCAATGAGAACTTTACACTATGGCAAAGAAAAATGAGTTATGCCCAAGCCCAACAGGGTCTCAGTGTTGTCTTGGCAAGCAAAGACAAGAACCCAAACACCATGACACAAGGGTTGAAGAATATGGGCATCAACAATAGTCTCGCAAGGATGTTCTACTTCAAATGAAGCCATCATCATTAGCACAATCCGGACCTAAGAGATCCATTAAACCATCCCAAAGGTTTGGATGAAATGGCAAGGAAGATTCAACTAGGTTTCGAGTTGCTTTTGGGATCAAGAAGTAGGAAAGTTGGATGGATTTTATAATGAAATTGAAGGATTTTGGAAAGGAATCAGTTCATATATCCCATTGCAAAGTTAGCGATTGTGTGCGGATATATAGAACAAGGGTTGGTGTGCGATTTGCATAAAGGTATGTCAAGAATTAAAAGGGTAATAAAGACAAAGAACAAGGAATTCAAAATAAGGGATCTCGTTTGTACACAAGAAATCTCAGCTACCCAAAGTTTAGTTTGGGTGGAGCACCTCCTCATTTGAGGTGCGTTAAGGCAAGAGGTTTCTTGCCATAGTATAGCTCTTGGAAATTTCCAAAATAATTTATAAAAGGATTAAGAGGTTCTAGGGTCAACAATTGTTCATGGTTGATTGATGGTTTGCCAAGGTGGAGATTATTGAAGAATGGGTTCACCATAGGATGCGAATAAGAAGTAGAGAAAAAGCATCTACCAGTCTATTTTCTGAAGCAAGGAAGATGTTGCGCAATCAGGCTTGGCGACAGGTCGGGATTAGCCATCTAACCAGTCAGTTTTGTCCAAGAGGTTCACAATGTTGAGCTTCACTTGGCTACCGAGTTTCTTCCCAATAGTGTAGTGCTCAACGAGGAGTGCTATTTTGGCAAGGCATGTTATACCCATGTTTGTTTGACAATGAGTCCTTATGGGGCATTTCCTAGTTTCCTACTTCAACTTTTATTGTAACCCAAGTCCCATATGATATAAATAGAACTTTTAAGGGGTAGGTTAAATGTGAGAGTGAAAACTTAGAATATAAGAGGGCATCAAATTGGATTTGAGAAATGGTGAAAGAGAAATAAAGAGCTAGGGTTTGAGGGCATAAGGGCTACCAGTGTTTTCTTGTAAACAAAAGTTGTTCCTATTCCTCTAGTGAAATTTCTCATGGAGATCACAACAAAGGATGTAGGCATATTGTCGAACCTCTATAAATTCTTGTGTTCTTAGTTGGTTTGTTTCCTTTGGGGTGTGTGTGTGTGTGTGTGTGTGTGTGTGAAATTTCTTTGTGGGTGGTTTGCATGTGTTTTTCGCCCTAACTCATCGATAACAAGGTCTTGAAGTGTCACATCCCGGATCGGCTCCACCGTAGCACGATATTGTTGAATTTGGGCCCATGCCCCTCACGGTTTTGTTTTTGGGAACTCATGAGCAACTTCCCAGTGGGTTACTCATCCTGGGGTTGCTCTAGCCCAAACTTGCGCTTAGGGGCCCGACGTCCTCGTCGACACACTCGCACCACACAGCAAAATGACTCTGATACCATTCTATCACATTCGGATCAACTCCTCTGTAGCATGATATTGTCTGCTTTGGGCCCCTGCCCTCAAAGTTTTGTTTCTGGGAACTCAGGAGCAACTTCCCAGTAGGTCACCCATCCTAAAATTGCTCTAGTCCAAACTCGCTTAACTTCGAAGTTCCCATAGAATCCGAAGCCAATGAGCTCCCAAAAGGCCTCGTGCTAGATGGAGGTGGGCATGTGCATATAAGGCACATCACCCCTTCTCTGTTGGTCGATGTGGGATGTTACAGATGATGCCGGAAATACGACGGGATTCATCTCAGATTCCGAGGAATCCGGGGCGAGACATGTCAATTTAACCTTTATTTGTAAAGTTATCTCTCTCTTTTTAAACTCAATCTCTCTTGGAATTCAGAAATGACGACTTTTAGATATATAATAACAATCATCTAATTGATTTCGAATTCAAGTGATTTTTTAAGAGATATCTTTGGGGTAATATCTAAAAACTACACGGTTCAAATTATTGAAATACAATGTGTGATGAACCCTACAAGCTTAGTGACTTTGACCTTGAGTTCATGAATACGGCACTGAGAAGTAATTGGAGTAGGGATTGTTTCTCCTAGGGGAAAAAAGACCAAAATTCGGGTCCGCTTGTACACCATGTACAGCGTAACCCCCAAAAAAATAAGAAAATTAGAGCTCACAAATTCGAGGCCCTTGCAGTGACCGGTGATTAGAGCTCACAAATACGGTGTTGGGCCTAACCTCCAAGCAAGGAAAAAGAAATGAGGAAAAGAACAACAGTTTTTTATTTGTTATATTAGTCATGTCTTATGGTTTTGGGGTGAGAGGAATCGTTTGAGACATGCGTGTGAAAACTTATCCAAGACTTCATTCCCACAGAAGTTTCAAGGTGTCACATTAATCTTCCAATTACAGGGGCTGCTAAAGGACTAAAAAACAAACATTTGTTCAAGAAAAAAAGATCGATTTGCAAACATATATATATATATATATAGCAATCCAGAAGCATACAACCATGACAAAAGATTAAGAATTGAAAAAAAAAATTACATTACAGAGAGCGAAATGAAACCACACCTGCTATATGTATGAAGAAACAAGGTTTGTTTTGCCTTTGGTAGCTGATCACTAGAAAAGCTCAATGCAGATCGTTTGTTCCTATACTGGATGAAGTTTGCTCTTATTAACAGCACATTGATTTGGCGGTTTATAAAACAAGCTGCTTTGGTTTACCAAAAAAATAAAATAGAAAAATAGAAACAAAAACAAAAAAGGAACAAGTTGCATTTGAAGTCAGGTCAACTCACAGCTTCCTTGCTTCTAATCTTGATGAACTGCTTTGGTCAGTTTATTATTGCAAGTATATACGGTTCACGCTATGATTCTTTGGATAGAATATTGAACATATGGATGTATTAAAAGAAGTAAAACTGTAGGAATGATAGCTCAAATCTATCTACCTACCTTTTATTTGTAGCATGTACATGACAATTGGATTAATTAATGTAGGAAATAATAAGGTTGTGTCTTATTGGCTTGCCAGTCACCATGATAAACATGAGATGGTTGTAGATGTCAAAGAAAGTCAGTGCAGGAAATTGCTTCTCTAAATTTATTAAAGTAGATGTCTACGTCAAATTGTCGTATGGACATGAAATGATAAGATCGAACCACAAAGTCGTTCTAATCAAATAGTCAAATCCTACCTGAATTTGAAGTCAAAATTACAGAAGAGGGAAGTGAAACCGCACCTGCTGTGTGCATGGCAAAACCAAGTTTGTTTGGGCTTTGATAGCTGATCACCAGAAAAGCTCAGAGCAGATGGTTTGCTCCTCTGGTAAGATCTTACTAGCTAATAGCACACTGATTGGCGGGTTATGACACGTTGCTTTAGAGTCAGGTCAGCGTCAGTTTAAACTATAATCCATTACGTTGTTCTAAACATAAAAATAATCCATTATAGTCTTTAGGTTTTGAACTTTCCCACAATAATTAATAGCACAATGATGACCTACCATTACGTTGATCTAAACAAAAAATAATCCATTACGTTAGCTCATCATTGTGTTTTGATAATAACACGTATATATACGGTATTATCAAAACACAATGATGAGCTAATGAACGAACAAGTTGCTTTATTTATAAAAGAAAAATAGACAAGTTGCTTTAGAAGTTGGAAAATAGACAAGTTGATTAAGCAACAGAGATTATAGAGCACACTGCTTGTATGAGAGTAAGTACGAGGAGAACAACAGCAGCAACGAGAGAGATAGTTGCCCACGGCGTGTGGAAATAATTTTGTCTCAAATTTGCCATCCTGTTGTGCCACGTCGAACTGCAGTACTTGTTCAGATCTTCACAAAGAGCAGCAAAATAGAAGTCATTGGCTTCGATGGTGACCCCTTCCGCAAGGTTGTTAATCATAGTAGACACCTCATTGCTGTCACCAAGCCAATTTTCAACAATCCCATACTTAACAAGCAACTCTACATCCTTTGGGGTGTTCACAAAACGATCCATGATGACAACATAATCATTTATGAAATTCTCCATGCAATGACATTGTTCAAAAGCAACCAGATTCCTTATTGTAAGCTCTGTCTCACCACTTATTGTGAACTTTGGAATTTCCAAAGTCCCGTCAGCGAATCGTATGTCAAATAAGTTTGGAGTTGAACCCACCTTAAACTTAACCCCAGCCCTGTGTAGCTCTGTAATGCTGGGTGTGTTTAGAGTTTCAAGCTTCCCTGCAGCTTGTAATTCGAATGAAAACGGTAGATACAGATTTCTACAAAGATCAACAAAATGTTCTACTTTTGAAGAACATATTCTCTGCAAACTACCTTCTGCTCCCTCTATAAGCATTCGAGTTTTGAACCAGTCATGAGAAAGAGTAATTACTGAAAGCCTCATAGTATGGTTACTGTTGGAAGATACTTGAGTTTCGTGTAGGTTGAAAAGATCCTCAAGAATGAAAAACGGCAACTGATTTTCAAGCAACCGCAAGTCAGGCCATACATCCTGTAGGATCCATGGTTTGTTAAAAAGGCGGTCGTTCTCATTCCGAAATTCAGGGAAGTAGCTCTTCAATAAGACCTCAATGACGAAAGTGGCATCCACTAGAATGATTCTTACAAATTCATCAACACTAAACTCAATGGTTTCTGCATAAGAACTGCGCACTCTTGCTTCTTGGTCCCTTATTCTCTTTACAATATCCTCCATGCTTACGTTGGTGCGACACAGAAAATCTTGTAGGTACCTCTTTTTATGCTCTTCCATGGCTTTTAAGGACTTCTTGCCATGGTGAAATGGGCCTATAGAGACTACCTGAGGTGTGTAGGCATTTTCGTTTACATGTCGTAGTCGCTTAGGAACTCTGTAAATACAGCACAAAGAGGACAGAGGAGACAACCCATGCAGTTCCTCTTTCAATGAAGTTGCCAAAGGCGTGAGAGGGTTCTGTCTGTCATGTAGAGCAGATTGATTGCTTCCTTTCGTCTTCCTCTTCATGTGTTGGTATAGTTACAGATTACTGCACCACAATGAACAAATCCTTTAATATCAACATTCCAATATGCTTTTACCAAAACTTGAAAAATCATCACAAAGGGCAAAATCAAACAATAAATGGTTCACAAATAAATTCAAACACTGATTTTCTAGTATTTTGTCTTAACTTTTGGATAAAATGAACAAAAAGTTTCTGGCTTTTGTGGCTATTTACTGTAGTGATGTCTTCGACATTTTCCCTTTGGTTGAATTTCCGAAAGTGGGAAAAGCAAACAAAATGTAACAGGTGGATCCACGAATTTTTTAGGGGATGTGCAATATTTAAAAGGATAAAAATTCACAAAGGACTCAGACAAGGTTTCAAGTCCTAACATCTGTGTAGTGTGTTAAAAAAAGGATAAAAATTCAAAAAATAATTTAGACAACCAAATGCCCTTAGAATTTAAACAAACTGATGTCATTCATAATTAAAACAAATAAGAGTTTCATGTCTATAACTAATTGATTATAGTCTATATGGAATATCAATTAATATGAACAAAATCCAGGTGAGTGACACAATTAGTTTACCAAAATTCATATCAAATATGAACAAAATCCATATCAATTACATAATTAATCTAACAAAGTCAATAGAAATTAATCTAACCAAAATTAATACCAATTAATTTCAACTTAACTTCCTCGCACTGCCTCTGCAACTTAACTTCAATTCTAAAAAAATTTCGAAAATTCATAACTTTGGTTCTGTAGCTGCGATTGATGAACCGTTTTCTCCTACATGCTCGTGAGATCGAGCCCAACAATCTAAGGTAAATATTCAGGGTCTCACACAGCAGGAAACCAAAAAACGTCTTTGAGTCATTTAGCCGAACAATTGGTGGGGACTAGCAAAGGGGCAAATCTGGCATCTACAATGAAGTTTCCGGTGAGGAAGTTGTATGAACTACTGATACCCGAGGGCAGAGAGTGAAGCTCAACATGGTCCGCACACAGTTATTTAAGTTCTAGGCCTAGCTGTGTTATTGCAGCTTTAATAAAATCAAATTCTTAAACAATGATAGGCTGCAGATAGTATTTATTATCCTCCTTTCCAGATCTCATGCTTCCAGTCAAAACAAAGAGACACACCAACATTCCATTGAAAGAAAGAAGAACAATTAGAAAACTCCCATAACCTTTTGCTTAATTCCAATTTTTAACTACCATGAAATATAAGAAACTAAAAGCTTCAAGAAAATGAACACTTAAGTGCCAATTAACATAGCAATGGAGAAGGATCCAATAACCCAGACAAAAGACTATGAATTGACAAACAAAAACAAAACGAAAGGATTGCATCCGCACCTGCTATGCAGAAAAACCCAGTTGGATTTGCCTTTGGTGGATGACTAGAAAAGCTCAATACAATTTACTTGCTAGGAAAATATAGATTTTCTCTAAATAATAGCACAATGAATACTATAGACTATAGAGATTAAGCTAACTAAGCCTTAATCAATGATGGGTTATGCGACAGCTTTAGCCAGATTGTACCTTATCTTTTTCCCTGGCTTACTAGGGCTATTGAAAATCATGTTTGATAGAGAGGATCAGATTGAACTAGTAAAATAACTAGAAGACAACACTCATACTATTCCTTGATTGCACATGAAATCTAAGCATTTTACTAGTCCAACTTAGTCCAATCCAATCCTCCCTATCAAACATAGAGGTAACGCAGCTACCATTTTCCTCCTCTTCTTTTTGAACTTTCTTAGAGCATCCACAATAAGAAGGTATATAAGGGGGCGTATGTTAAATATACACCTTTTGTCGCTGGAATCATCTTCAATGGAAAGATGTAAATGGTTGTAAAATACATATTCACCATGGAGATGTAAAATTAGATGCACATTTGTATCTTTGTTTACATCCTTTGCAGGCGGGACCCACAAGAGAAAAAGGGAAAGAGAATGGTTGGAATTCAAAATGGAAGACCTCGATTTCATGCAATTTGCATTGCACTTCCAATAGCCCATATTTCTACATAGATATTTTTATGTTAATTTGTAGGTAAAATCATATGTTCTCCAAATTTAAATTTTTTTAGGTCCATTTATTTGGAAAAATAAAATAAATCTAACACGCACAAAATTAATTTATAGTCAAGCTCACTGCCCATAGCTGTGTCATTTCCTCTGTTTTGAAAGCAACTAGATAAAGCATTAAGAGGAAGTATAGGCAGCGCTATATTCATCCTCTTTCTCAACCCTTTATTTACCTGACTTTCTAAATCCATGTGCTGCTATTTATAAGAGAAATTTCGGACAAACAAAAATGACAATAATATTTTTCAGAAAGAATAAAATAAAATCTTGGCAGGAAGCCGTACAATTTGAACCCATTCACAGTGAAAAGTTGATAAAAATTTGATGGATTACATATTTCAACTCATTTGAGCTTAGATTTTGAAGACCTCTGAAGAGGCTTTGCAATGGGCCTAGCAGGTGCACTTCTAACAACCTTCTTAACATCATACTTTACAGATGAGAAGGCAGCGATTACGGCAATGAGCATAGTTGGGTAGACAAACACAGCTTTCGTAGGATCTGTGTTCACAGGCTTTCCAAGGATCCCTTCTTTGATGAGGCCCCAAAGCATTAGAAGTGTCCCAAACATGCTCATCCTCCCTCGTTTTAGAAGACCCACAAGGGCTCCAGCCACAGCAAAGTAGCTTCCTGCTAGAACCTGATGAATTAATCAAAGAAACAGAGATGAGATCACTGCTTCATATTGTCAGAAGTGAAAGCTTAATGGCTTGCCTCCTCAAGATAAAATTGAAAATCCTTTAAAACAACAGAAAAGGGAAAGTGTCTGTTGAGAAATGGAACCTCTAAGCGCTGGAGGTCAGTAACTGCAGGGGATTCCTTTGCATTGGTCAAGTTATAGATGTCTAATACGTTATTCCAGCTTGGAACAGTCATGTTCCTTACAAGTCCATTTGCAACAGCCCCAGGGAAGAGAAGGGCTTTTACCACAGGAATAGGAAAGATTTCACTTGCAATCAATTGAGAAGAAGTGACATGCAATGGTGTGGTACACATGCCAGATCTGCATGGAACTCTGTAACAATGAAGAAACATTAAGCCAAAAACAGAGTTTTACATTTACCTTTTTCTTAATACATATTTCCACAAAACACAGCCATTAAATAACAACAAATATTTCCGTCTGATCAAGACATGCCAGAGGAAGAAATGGAGCAGCATCACATGTACATAGATCCAGATAAAGCATATACAAATTATGAGCTTGTATCATACAAGAAATCCAAAAAGAATACATATTGCTTAAGTAATACAAATAAAATGCATCAGGCTTCTATTATATAGACTGATAAACACCTAAAATGCCAGCATAGGGCAGAATGATCATTCCCTACACATGGTACATAGGAATCATGCTCCATCTCAGGACCTACGTGGATCCCGCTTGAATCCATAAACATGGATACTTTACATAAATGCAATTCTAGCGTCTTCTGTAAATATCTTCTCTAAGATACTTACAGAAAATATAAACTTTCTCTAATTTTATAGCCTTTCCATCACGTTAGAAGTATGTTCCAAAACACAACCAACCAACCAAAAGGCCATTGCCACTACTGAGCTTAGCTCAGTTCATTAACTGCCCTGAATTGCTGATCCATATTCTGAGGGGACTTGGGTCCTTGTGAGAGTATAACAAGTGAACCAAGTACCCTAATTCAACTGTTAACTAAAAACATTGGGCAGCACAACTTCAGGATTGCAAAATCAAATCAACCGATCTAAAACAAACAAGAGATTCTTTCTTTTTTTCTTTTTTTCTTTTTTTCTTTTTTTCTTTTTTTCAAAACCAGGTTTAACAACGTGACACTAAGAACTTCAAAATGCACATCCAGATTCAATAAACCACGAAACTACAAATACCCAGATGCTAAAACATGAAAATTAGCAAAAACAAAGCATGCCCGGATAGCCTAACAATTTGAGTAACTAGGAATTAGATGAAAAGAGAAATTAAAATAAGCAGATTTGGGCACAGAGAGGGAGCGAGTGTGGAAATTGATCGAGTGAATTACAGTACCTGAAAAGCGGGATCTGGAGAATGATTAGGAAGAAGTAGACGCGAGCGGCTATTGAAGAGATATTGCTTATCCATCCCTTTGACGATTTTGACGATGGTGCTGATGATGATGGCGGAGTTGCCATGATTGGCTTCAACTTCAGACACACAGAGATGAGACTTTACTAAACTAGAGTATAGTATGATTTTCTTCTGTGGCGGAGCTACTTGTGGACGCATCAAACGACATCGTATCGTTCCTTCACGCAATGTCGTCTGCCTGCAAAAAGCGGTTGTGGGCTTTGAATTGTGACGGGTTAGGCCCAGGGCAAAAATAACAGTTGAAGCTTACCATTAAAACGGCGCTAAGAGCGGTCGTTAAAGGCGCGCAGACTAAGAGTAGTAGATAAACCTGAACCGAGAGGCAGAAAGGCGGCGACTTTTCGTGATTTTTTCTCATCGGCGTTTGGGCGGAAGAGGTGCAGTCTGGTGACCTTTAAAACGGCACCGTTTGGGAACAGAGGCATTTCGATCTCATCTTCCTCACATTGAGAGCAAAATGGCTTTTGCTTCTGCGCTTAACACTCCCAAGGGGCTTCACTGTTTAACGTTGCCGTCTTCCCGCAACGAACGGCCACCCACCAGTCTGATACTGCCACGTCAATTTCCGGCTCGGTTCTCGTCGACACTGGCCCTGGCCCGCCGTCGAAACCAACGCACTGAAGTGGCGTCGTCTAAGCCGAAGATAAATAAGGTAAGAAATGAGCTTTTTTTAGAAGTGCTTTCTCTGTTTGCAGAAACTGAAATTTCTGGTTTTGAATTCGTGGTCGAATGTAGAAAATCTTGGCGAAAAAGGAAGTTAAGGATGATGAGGATGTGGATGAGGATGCTATAGATGCACTGTTTAGGCTGCTGGAGGAAGACCTTAAAAACGACGACGCATCGTTAGACGACGAAGATTTAACAGAAGAAGAGCTTGCTAAGCTCGAACAAGAAGTAGCAGAGGCACTGGGGATTGTTGATGATGAGGAGGACGAGGACGAGGATGAGGACGAGGAAGATGATGATGATGATGACGAGGACGATGAGGATGATGATGATGACGTTGTTATTGAGATCGATGCTCAAGAAGAAGAAGTAGATGATGATGATGATGATGATGAAGAGGAGGAGGAGGAAGAGGAAAGTCCTGTGAAGCTTAAGACTTGGCAACTCCGGAGATTGGCTGCTGCTTTAAAAGTTGGTCGCCGCAAAACCAGCGTAAGGGTTTCTTTCTCCCTTTAGTTTTTGGGTTTTTTTTATGGATCTTTGAAAAGCTGGGTTCTTGTTCATGAAATTTGAAGCATCTACTGCCTGAAACACTATATCAAATTTCAAGCCCAGTCAAGCTTGATATCTTGCTTGGTAGTAATCTTTTTGTTTGGAAATATATGTGTGTGTGTGTATATATATATATATTTAAGTTCAAAGGAGGCCTGGGGGCTTTGGAGATTATAGAATGAATAAAGAATGGATAGGAAAACCAAAACCCTGTTTTTTAATGTAAACTTTGGTTCATATTCATGAAAATTTGCTTCTCGGTATTTGGGGTTTTTAGTTATGTTGGCAAACTTTATATTGTTGGCATTTCGTTTGTTTTCAGATAAAAATTCTTGCAGCTGAGCTTTGTCTCGACAGGCCGGTTGTTCTCGAATTGCTTCGCAACCCCCCTCCAAGTCTTTTGATGATGTGTGCTGCTTTACCTGATGAACCAGCTCCAACAATATCTGTGTCCCAAACGATGCCTGTAGAAACTGTTGTGGAAACAACTGTAGAAACTGTGGTGGAAACAACTACAGAGTCCTCGGAGGTTGAAACTACAGTGAACAAACCTATTCATGTTATGCAACAAAAGTTTTCCGCTCAAAAAAGACTGAAGAAAGCGCATGTTGAAACCCTTGAAAGTGTTTATAGAAAAACAAAGCGGCCCACTGTAAGTGAATCTTTTGTGTTGAATGATTTCGGGATATTGCGATATAATGTACTTTCATTTGAAACTTGACCTAAAAGAACTTGTGCGCCATTTCCTTATGCTTTGTGTGCGTTGATATGTGATGCAGAATGCAATGATCAGCAGCATAGTGCATGTGACAAACCTGCCCCGCAAAAGAGTTGTGAAATGGTTTGAAGACAAACGTTCTGAGGATGGCGTTACTGACTCTCGACTTCCATATCGACGGCCTGCCCCTAATACTGCCTAGTAAACCAATGTGTAAAACAGGTACTTCTATGTTGTTTATAATGACAGCTGATAGATTTTTTAAGCTCTATCTCCTTTCATTTTCATTAGACTTAACAGAAAGTGAAAATGAAACACGGCAGTAAAACAAGATGGGTGAAGACGCTGTTGGCCTAGGGCTAGCTCGGGTGATGAAGGGGCAGGAAAAGGATTAGGATACGTTATGGATTCAATCCAATCCGATTTACCCCAAAAAAGAAAAAATATGAAATGAATGAGCTCTTGCCTTAGTTCAATATGATCTTCAGTTTCAGCAATCCCATCTAATAAATAATAGAACTTTGACCTCTATCATCTTCTTTAGCCTAGGGATAGGTATGAGAGGAAGGAATAAAACTTTGATCTTTATCCTAAAAGACAGCAAGAAAATTTTAAATGAATTCTATTGTAACTAATGAAAGATCTTTGACATCTATCATCCCCTTTTCCCCCAGGGAGAGGTACAGAACAAGGGAGAGAACTTTAATTTGTACTGAAAGACAGAAACATAGAAAACGTGTTATTCATTTAGATTCCATCCCCTGACCTCTTTCTCGTTCTTCTCCCTTTGGCATTTTCCCTCTTCCTGGTATGTATATAATCAACCCAATCACCCAGATTAGAATTATCACAATTTCTGCCCAAAGCCAGCTATCATCACAACTGGTTGAGACTCAAGAGACCTCATGGCGACGTTAGCAAGGTCGGCATCCACATTTAGGCGGCAAGGCTCGTCGGGCTTAATATGGGACGATAACTTGATGCTGCAAAGAGAGGAAGGAAGGGCAGAGTTTAGAGAGCTAAGGCCATGCCAGAGTGCCAAACCCATTGGCCCCAAGGCTTATAGCAGCTCAAATGGAGCACTCGCGATTTGCCCTCGCAGCTCTTCTACCTCAGCCAAGAAGAACCCACATTCTCTCAAATCCAAATTCTTGAAAATGTTTCGTGCTCTTTTTCGAAAATAAACCACTGCCCGGAAATCCAACGCATGAAACGACATGGCATGATTTAATGTCTTCTAAGCACATAAGTATATGGTATTATAGTATTTCAACATTTCATCGATGAAATTCTTGTAGCTTGGAACATTGCGTTCCAACAAAACACTTTCTTGTAATTGTTTTATTATTACATAAGTAATTACGATCTTGGCATTTCATAGCAAACCAAACATGCCGACAAAATGGTATCATTTTCCTGTCAATTTTTGTTCTGAAAGGTGTGGTAGGTAGGGAAGCCCATCTCCATTTTCTCAAGATTTCGAAGAAACAGACAAAGTTGTCAAAGAAAAAGGTCGAAAGCCCCATCTTCATCTATGTACGGATGATGAATGAGACCATTCGTTAAAGTCGCCAAGGATTATTTTCAAAGGATTGGCAAAGTTTGTTGGGGCCCGGGCCACCACAAATTTTCAGCCTAGCTGCAAGTTTATAGCATCCATTGGCAATATGAAACTTAGGCTAAGTTAATTATCAATTAATCCTATTTCATTTTTCGTCCCGTAAATGTTAAGTATGGTCCAACATTACATCTATACCCTAAAACGAAGTTTACATTTGTGTAAAATTAGTGAAAAAAATAGAAGGCAACTTCGGGACCTAACATCTGAAGTTGATACTTTGTACGGGGATATGTGGGGATTTCTATGTCTTTTTATGCGATGGTGGATTTAGGTTCCCGAATTAAAACGACAACTCATGGTACCGACATCCCAATCTGGCGGAGCTGTCCAATTTCCTAAACTGAAGTTGGGTCGTCTTTGAGCCATTGGCCTTCACAAACTGAAATATCTTGCTCATGAATCATGATTCATACATAATTGACAGGGATAATGATCCATTCAACTAAAAAGAAGCAAAACAATTAAAAACAATTGAAGGGTATTGGCTATCAAGATTAGCTAAAGTGTAAGGTGTTTACAGCTCAAGTGGTTAAGAGCAACTATCCATGCACTTGATTCGAAGTTTTATGTTCGAATTCTTCCCCCAATATCGTTTGTATAAAAAATAAAAAGTTCACTAAAGTAACATATGTTGGAAAATACTCCAAGTTTAAAATTGCCCAAATGTTAAAAATTGATAATTTTTTTTGTTAAATATATAATGAATTATTAGTAATAGTGGTGATATTTCTCTTTTTAATGTTGGAATGTGTCCGAATTTAAGGTGATTTTAAGAAGTTAATTACATTAACTTGAAGCTTATTATAAGGTCAATGAATTTGCATGTGTTTGTGACCAAAGAAAAAAGTTATCACCTAAGGCAAAGAAATCACTTGCGCTCACGCATACCTCAAATCAAATGAGATATTCAAACTTCCATTGTAAACTAAACTCATTGCTTTCCCAAAATCAAGAAACACATGCACTTCCAGCACAAAATGTGGTCCCACTGTCCTAGTTCGTTGCATCTCCCTCCCCAATCTCCATGCCATCCGTCCGATCTGAATCTCATCCAACGCTTCCCATGTCTCCACGATCCCTTCCTACAAACCTTTGATTCAGGCCACGCCTCATGGCTCATATCTCTCCACGCTCACCCTCGCAGAGCCCTCAGATCTGAACGAGCTTCAACGGCTCCAAATCCACTCTGAAACTCCACCTCTCTGCTATTTACTCACTCAAACATTAATGTCCCGCTCTTTTAATTTTCTTCCAGCTGAAAACCACAAAAAACAATTCCTCTCTGTTTGATTTGTTTAGAGACCAAATGCAAGAGCAAGCGACGAGCTCCCTTGCCGCGAGCTCTCTCCCGTCGAGCAGCGAAAGGTCTTCGAGCTCTGCATTCCAAGTTGAAGTCAAAGAAGGTTTGATTTTCTCAACTCATTTTTAGTTTTTGGAAGTTTATGTTTAACAAGTCTAACTGAGTTTGTTCAAATTTGTCTACTTTCTTTCTGGTTCCAAAGAAATTCGAAATTTCTCATCTGGGTTTTGTAGTATCCTGAATTTTCGGAGCCGGGTCTTTGTTAATTTCCCGGGAAATACTTTCTGCGGATGAAAAACCTTCCCTTTTTACATTGCTTCAAGTAAAAAGAAGGAAGTTTTATTGTTCATGGTTGGCTGTTTATCTTCGTGAACCAATAATTTAGAAATTTCCCAACTCTTCCCTGTTACATTGTTTTATATAAAAGGAGTCGGCTTTTCTTACAAGGCAAAGACATGATGCATTAAATTTTTGTTAAGGTCCAACAATAATTTTCTTTTTTGGCCTAAATTTAAGGCATGGAAAGTGATGAGGAGATCAGGAGAGTGCCGGAGATTGGGGGCGAATCGGCCGGAGCATCAATCTCCGGCAGGGAAACCGGTTCGTTGGCCGGTCCGGACCGGGCCCAAGTGGTAGGTGAGGGGCAAAGAAAGAGAGGAAGAAGTCCAGCTGACAAGGAAAGCAAGAGGCTGAAGAGGTGAGTTGGGCTGCACCGCGTCCATGGTGATTTTACTGTTCTGCCCTTTTTAGTCGATTGCGTGTGCTCATTGGCATTTTGGTGGAATTGTCTTTTTTGGGTGCAAAACAAAAGGTTGTTAAGAAACAGAGTTTCAGCACAGCAAGCAAGGGAGAGGAAGAAGGCATACTTGAGTGATTTGGAAGTGAGAGTCAAAGACTTGGAGCAGAAAAACTCTGAGCTTGAGGAGAAGCTTTCCACTTTGCAGAATGAGAATCAGATGCTTAGACATGTATGTTCCTTCATCCTCATCATATGCTTCATGTTAATCATCGTAATCATTATTGTCATCAAATAATCATTAGTTAGAAATTAGAATTTGTTTATATGTGCCAGAATGATTTGCATTAGGGGTATTGTGAGGAAGAAAAAATGATGGTATAAATGTACAGTTCTATTGAGGAGGGCCTTTGATATTATCTTATCTTCACTTATTATCAAAAGTGGAAAGTGTTATGGACTTGTGATATAAATGGGGTGTATGGGTGCGGGATGTGGGGTCTACCCCACCAAATCCATTACTCCGTTTTGTTCTTGATAAGAAGTAAAAGCTGAAGTATGGAATAGATGTGATGGTGTCAAATTCCCTTTTTGGTCCACCGACTAGTGGACTGATACTATCCCTCTTAACATGCTAATCCATAGTTGATATGTGATTTTGTTTATATTAAGATTGATAATGGTTAATGTGTCTGCTGTTTAGAACTGTTAACCACGGCGTACGGTTATCACCCTACTTAGCATGTCTCATGCATTGTACAATCATTAATTATTGTAAGATATACATTTATACCATGTTGGGATGGTTGTGAGCGAAAGGTCTGTTTTTGTTAGGTAAACTTGTCGTGCCAATTCGTAAAGGTTTAGATAGCTTGAGCATCAAAATGAGGGCAATTCTACACCTTATCGTTGCCTGAATTGGTGAATATTGATTGAGGTAGACTTGAAACTTAGCAAAATTTGGGCTTAGGCAATTGATATTTATGATACACCTGACAAATTTGGGAGAATGAAGTATTTCTCTGCATTAGGACTTGTTCTTGGAAACCTGAAAGAGTTGGAAACATATCCTGAACTGCCACTATGCTTAAGCTTTTACTTAAAGTTCTGCCTCTGTAATCCACCTGTAGTTTGATTTAATATCTGCATGACATTTACTTATTGGTAGTCTCTGCCTTTTTAATTTGTTGCAGATACTGAAGAACACAACGGCAAGCCGGAGAGGAGCAGGCAGTAATGCAAATGCAGATGGATCCTTATAGGAAAGTGTGTGAGATCGGAGTGTTCATAAAGAGAAATTGTGAGAGGAAAAGCGGAAGCAATATGACTATAGTATTCCAACCATACAGGGAAACATCACAAGGGAAGGACCTAGGCATACTTAATCATAGATTAGCATTTCCTATAAGTTATGTTCACTAGTAGTTCATTTGCATGCCACTCTCTTGGTATTTTTCTGTATGCAATATGGTGCAGATCTTGTGTCAACTGTAGTAACAGCAGCGGGTGCAGGCATGACCGGAAAATTTACCAAAAATGGGAAAAGCTCGTTCGTGTTGGTAGTGGCAATGACAGTAGCATTTGTGAAAATGGTAAGGCAGTGGTGATTGCTAGTAGGGTTTAGGCTTGCCGTGGCGATTGTGGTGTTACCGGTCTACTTATACTTTGCCGAAATGTTCTATAGGTTTATAAGAGATCAAATTCCCATCATCAATGCAATGGGAAAAATGGAATAACAGTGTACTGTGTTCTTTTAAGACGGGTGGTATTAGTTTGTGCAATCTTTTCTGGAAGTAAAATCATTATGCAAATAAACTGGTAAAGTGCCCTAATTAATAAGACTAATAAAATTGTGCTCAGCTGAGCTAGCATTTTCTGCAACTGCGAAAGGAATAAAAGAACAGAATATTTGGGGTGGTTGCCAAATCATGTTTGGTGATCATGTTCATGCATGTGGCAAGTAAAAGACTATTCAATCAGAACTCAACCGTGTTTTAACTAATCCTGCCAAATTACTTAACATTGGCCCCGCTTCCAAATTTGTTTAAGTTAACAGACTATGAATTAAATTAGAAACATAAGATAAGTTACATTTACCAAGGATGTTTCACATTACTATAAAACACCACTTGATCTTTATAATAAGAACCATAAGAGCATTTCCAACCGATGTGTCAAACGTATCACATAAACATTTAACAGCTATAAATAACATCTCACATCACTCCAACCGATGTGTCAAAGCTGATGTGGAATGAAGGCTGGAGGTTGAGATGTTATGTTTGACATCCCAAAAGCAAAATGTCAAATGAATATTTTATTATTTTTTCTTTTCTATTTTTTTTAATTACAAATGAATCAACACTTAAATGTAATAAAATAATAATTTAATTTGGCATATCGGGTGGAGTTTAAAGCTGTGTAAGATGTCAAATTGCCACATCAACCATCAAATTTAAATTTGACGTTTGGTATTTGACATCTCCCTTGGAGATGCTCTAAGAGCATCTCTAACGGATGTGTCAAACGTGCCACATAGACATTTAACAGCTATAAATAACATTTCACATCACTTCAATCGATGTGTCAAAGCTGATGTGGAATGAAGGCTGGAGGTTGAGATGTTATTTTTGACATCCCAAAAGCAAGATGTCAAATGAATATTTTATTATTTTTTTCTTTTCTATTCTTTTTAATTAAAAATGAATCAACACTAAAATGTAATAAAAAAATAATTTAATTTGGCATATCGAGTGGAGTGTAAAGCTGTGTAAGATGTCAAATTGCCACACTAGCCATCAAATTTAAATTTGACGTTTGGTATTTGACATCTCCCTTGGAGATGCTCTAAGAAAAAAATATCGTCACACGTTTAATAATCTAACTTCATTTTATATCTTTGTCGTAAATAAAACAAATACGACTAATGCATTTATACCCTGAAATTTTCTGTGATTATTAAAAACTTAGAATCCTATACCTATTGATTATAATACAAACCAACATTGAGTATTATACGTTTTCCATGTTTTTTGGGGTCTTTTTATTTCTACTTAAAATTTAAGTAGTTTATCTTGTGTAATACGGTTATGTGGGTTAGGCGCGTCACACAATTACATAAACATGTTAAAGCATGTCATTTTCAGGTTAGGCAGCTTGACCCAAAATACGAAGTGTTTACTAACTGTGTTAAGTGGGTCGACACGCTTATTACACAAACAAAATTGTGGGCAAACCCAAACATGTTTGTTGCAAGAATTCTATAGTGAGGGCATTATATATGGCCCTTAGGTGATGCCTTATTTCTTAACCGTTTATTCAAATTGGTTATCCTAATCCAACGATTATGAGATAGGACCTTACTTAAGGGTCATATATAAAGCCCTTTCGTTTCTTCTCCAAAAAAAAACAAGAAGTCATGTATAAAGCCCTCACTATAAAATGACTCATGTTTGTTGTTTCCAAATGGATTGTTCTGTCATGTCCAAAATTGTCACTCTAAATTTCAAGTCATGTATAAAATTTCCTTCTGCGGATCACTTGGGCCTAAGCCTTTATGAGGGCCTCCTAGATTTTCTTTTTATTTTATAAAACGGGCCCACTTGGTGAGGAAGATTCATTAGTGGTTGGCTAGACCCCGATTCATTTTTGCATGAAAATCCAAAACAATGCAAAGAAATTGCTACCACCGACAATAACCACTTATACTGATACTCTCCCACTACAGCCTGTTACCAGCAAATAATAAATTACAAAATTAAGACTTAAAATATATACGACACTTGTTGGTTCTTCTCTCCTCGACAAAGACATCCCAACCGGTAACCTTACACGTGTCCAAATTAGATTGGATGCAACCGTTTTAAGTCAACAATTCAACTCAATTGGGCTCTCTGATTTCTCACCAGACTCGTATAACAGCTGCATGGTTTGGTGTTGTGTTACATTATTGTGATATCATCGTTTTGTTAAATAAAGAAAATAAAAGGGATGTTGTTATATCACTAATCACATCTCTTGATTATTGTAATATAACTTCAACCACCAATTACATTAGATACTTTGAAATTGTTCGTGTAATTAGTAATTGCTCTTCGATAAAGATAGGGTTTTTCTTTTGTTGGTGTTATTTCGACTATCTTCAACAGTCAGGTCATGCCTCAAATTTAAATTTCAAATAATAAAAAATTACTAAATATTGTACCATTTCTCTAACCACGGATGTAAAGTATATATGCTTTCTTGGAATTCTTTCTATAACGATGTGACCATTTAGTTTTCATAGCAACTCAAAGTTCTTATGAGGATTTCATAGAATTCATTCATTGCAAGGTAAGTAAAATTTTTGCCCCGAAAAAAACTTCATTTAAAAAAATACAAATATATTGATAAAAAAAATTGAAAAAAAAATATTTTAAAAAATTGATATACTGTATTTTAACTCTCTTTTTTTACTTATGTTTTTAACCATTTGAATTATTAAACCGGGGACATAAAATTATTATGTGTAAAAATATCATGTATATTTAATTATCAGACAATAATTTTCTAACAAAAATAAAAATAAAAAAGCATGTGAAACGAGACAAAAGGAGTCTAAACTGATTCACTGTACAACGACTAACAGTGGCAACCGGTTCACCCGGTAAAATGAAATAAATATTAAAAAAAGAAAGAACAGAAATATAGTAATAAAAAGACAACTAAAGGCAAAGCTGTCATGAGTAGAGAGAGATCAGAGATGTCGTAGTGAATGGGCGAAGAATTCACAGCCTTTGCCTCCCTCACTTCTTTGCCGACAGATCTCTTTTCTGACATCTCAAACTAAAACAATTGAAATCGCAACTCTGAGGAAGCTCAAGAATTGAGAACAGCCATGGAAGCCAATGCTGGACTGGTAGCTGGCTCTTACAAGAGAAACGAACTCGTTCGGATTCGTCACGATTCAGATAGCGCGGTAAAGTGTTTTCAGAGTTACCCATTTCGATTTTTTTCCGATTTGTTTTATTTATTGTTTGTTTTGATGTGGGTTTTTGTTTAATTTTTTTTAATAAATTTTTTTATGTACTGTGTGGATCTCAGTGTTGGCTAGGTGGAACTGAGTTTTCAGTAAATATCCGTGTTCTTTTTACTGAATTGGAAATGGGTAGTTTTAGAAATTGGATATGGAGTTTTGATTGAGACAAGGGGCAGTGGATGTTATAGTCAAACTTGGAGATTTGAGATTGGATTTGTTAAAAGCTCTGATCTTGTAGAAATTTGTTTGCTTTATGAATAGCTATGGAATGGTAAATGTAATTTCTATCAGATCTTAGAAATGTGTTTATCAAAGTTTTATCTGTGATGTCTATAGCTGGATTTGCCGACATTGACAACCCAATCTAATTATTATTACTTTTCTAGTTTGATACTTATTTTATTTTTCTAGAATGAATCTAAGATCTTGATAGTTTAGTCCTCTATTGTCGGTCATCTCAGTTGAATTCAGCTCAGTGAAATTTTAGCTTCTTTCTTCTTTCACTGACTCATCACTCATAACACATGCCTGTGATCTGTTCTCTGTAACTGTGAGTTGAACTGCCTGTTAGGCTTCGTGGTTTACATTTCATGTGATTGACAATGCCAGCTTAACTAATGTTAGTTTAACCTTTCTTGGAATGAAATTCTGAGTTATTGATCAATTTCGTAAAGACTTTGATCATGGTAATTAATTATGTGCATCCTTCGAGTTTCATTATTACAAAATACTGCATTTATCAATGAACCATTTATTTGCTGAAAGCCTAAAACATAGGTTATGTATATCAATTTTCTTGCTACTTTCAATAAATTTCTTTTTAACGGTTTTGAACATTGTCTTTGGTAATGCAGCCCAAACCCTTAAAAAATCTGAACGGGCAGATATGTCAGATCTGTGGTGATACTGTTGGACTCACGGCCACTGGTGATGTCTTTGTTGCCTGTAATGAGTGTGCCTTTCCAGTTTGTCGTCCTTGTTATGAGTATGAGCGGAAAGATGGGAACCAGTCTTGCCCACAGTGCAAGACTAGGTACAAAAGGCACAAAGGTTAGCTTGTGGTTTGATTACTTTTAGAGAATTCAATCCCGTTATTTTGGCTTATAGCCATAATTCTTGCAATGAAGTTAATACAACTGATGTACTTTAGGGAGTCCTCGAGTGGACGGAGATGATGATGAGGATGATATTGATGATCTGGAGAATGAGTTCAATTACGCACAAGGAAATAGCAATGGCAGACGC